GATTAAGTTATGAACTTATGATAAAACATCGATAATTCTCGGTTTCGTTTTTTCTGGGACGCACTGTACAGTTGCGGGGAATTCAAAGGCGTAACGCCTGGCATACCATTAAACAACATCCGACTGAAAATCAATTAATATTTCATCGAAAAGATAGCCATATGAAGAAAAAAAAATTCAGGTAGGCCGGAGCTTTTGTTTTTTGCTCAAGGGTGGGGGCGGCCGGGGCCGGATGAGGCATCACTTTGTGCGGGTGTACTATATAGTTCAATAATATACCGTACGTGACATGTAATGGTTTATTTATTCGAAAATCACATTGCAGGCCAAAGGCTGAATTAAACGATTTAAAAAAAAATCTTTGACATAAAAACAGATTATAATGAACATTGTAAAAAGCATTACACTAAATAATAACTGCATACAAAATTAGTAACGCAATAATATCCAACTAATATTCTTTTACATCTTAAACCGAAATAGCTAGGATTATCAGATGGTATAAAGGCACATAGATTAATAGATGATCAGATTGAGAGAGCGAGAGAGAGAGAATCAAGAAGGGAGAGAAAAAAGGTGGGAGTCAGAGAGGAAGAACTAGTGTTGGAAGAAAAAATACCATAAGGTAAAAACTAAGAATCAGGAGTAACGAAAGCCAGAAATAAGGCTTTAGGTATGTGTTTTTGAATTCTTCATCGTCAGAATGAGAGAGCAAACCAGGTACAACGAATACATGATATATTGATATGTGAATATTGTAAAATTAAAATACAATTCATCATTTAAAAAAGTTGTATGCTTAAAATAATACTTAAAAGTGAAATTAGATAAATTATACTTGTACACTATACAGAGTCCACAAATAGATACAACTAGGCTATTATTTACATTTAAAACATCATATATAATATGTAGAATGTAGGATGCGAGGAATTAGGCAATACAACGGCAAAGGCAGATGTGTATATCATAATGTATATGAAGTGGGAGAGCGAGAGAGAGAGAGAGGGGAGGGGGAGGAATAAGATAGAAAATGTAGTATGTGAGAGAAGGAATAACAGAAGGAGAGAAAGAGTAATATAGTAAAAGAGAGAAAATGGAAGGAGGTGAAAGAAAAAGTCAAGCTCATCAATATCCAAATCTAAGGTATGTGTAAACGATCCCTAATAACTATATCGTCTCTATGCGATGTAAGAAAGCACGAGTACGAAGGCAAGGTGGATAGAGTAAGAAGATTGAGGTATGCTCTACATACTTCCTGTCGGAAAGTATTTTTGAAAAGAAATCAATGAATGAGGGGGGGGGGGGGGGGAGTCGGACCCACCATATTATATACAGTGCGTCCCAGAAAAACCGAAACCGAGAAGTATCGATGTTCTATCATAACTTAATCAAAACTATAATTAATGAATGTTACATATTTGGAAAGCTTAGAGTCTCCTCTTTCAGTTGATGCTACTCAGATAATGCATATTTCACGCATGAATGTGTAAAAGCAATTTGAAGGAAAGAAACCGAAAAGACATTTGGCGGGCCGTATCTGAATTTCGAAAAAAAATTACATTTCTAGAAAGTTGAGTTTCTGCCCTTTCATAATAACACCTCAATCAGGAAAAATGAGCTAGGAATGACAAAGTTCTGTTTGTTTAAAGTAGTGCTTGCATTTCCATAAACGAATTCGTTTTCATGGCTGCCTGTCGTATTAATAAACGAAATTAACAAAAGACTTAACTCCGTTTCGTTGACAATCAGCCATGCATCAAGACTCTTGACTACGGCTGATTGTCAACGAAACGGAGTTAAGTCTTTTGTCAAATCTGCTTTTTGCTACGGCAGGCACCCAGTGAAAACGAATTCGTTTGTTAAAATTATGAAAATGTAAGGGCTAGTTTAAACAAACAGAACTTTGTTATTCCTGGCTCATTTTTCTTGATTGAGGTATCATATGAAAAAGCAGAAAATGAATTTTCTGGAAATATGAATTTTTCTTTGAAATTCAGATACCGCCCGCCAAATCACTTTTCGGTTTCCTTCCTTCAAATTGCTGTTAATCACTCATGCGTAAAATATGCATCACGTGAGTAGAATCAACTGAAAGAGGAGACTCTAAGCTTTCCAAATATGTATCATTCATTAATTATGGTTGTGATTAAGTTATGATGAAACATCGATACTTCTCGGTTTCGTTTTTTCTGGGACGCACTGTATATTTATTGAAATGGAATCCAACATTTTGGATTATTTTCAATACATACGTACATAAAAAAAAATATAGGCCTATATAATAATCAGCATTGAGGTCAAGGCCCATGCAAAGGATATTGAATAACAACAATAATTACGCCATTTCTTAAAAAAGATTTTATGCCAGATTTTCTCTTTCCATCTTTCTTAATTTCCTTTTTACATTATTTTGATACCCTTTCTTTTAACATTGGAACGTACTATTATGTTTACATCCTTTTCTTTGCTTCATCAAAATACTAATAATATATGGTCTAAGTGGGTTGGTTAACCTTCATAAACGCATTGATAGATTGTGAAAAAACTTTCCAACTTTTCATCAATCTCCCCTTGTATAATGGAATATGTTAGGTATATTCAATAGAAATATTGTAAGTTTCAATAGCTTGTTGTCTGCTTAAAGCTTAAAGCATACACCCTTCAGGTTCCAGTCAGGGGCGGATCCAGCCAGCGAGGGAGGGAGCCCAATTCGTGAGAAAATATTTAGCGGCGACTCAGCCGGCTGGCCGAATAAGCGGGGGGGGGGGGGGGTATGGAGCTCACTTCTTTTTCTTGTTTTTTAGGGTAAAATTAACGTTATCATCTTTTTAAACCTATTTTGGGGGCCAGAGGAGAGGGCCCGACCTCCCCCCTCCCCTGGATCCGCCTCTAGTTCCAGTGTCTAAATTAAAGGTTTTTATTTATTACAATGTCATTGTCGTGGAAAAGGAGTTCAGAGCAAAAATCTTTTTAGCTAGAGCATTTATTTGCTCTTCCAAAAAATACCACTAAGAAAGTAGGCTATACATCTTTCCAAAAAAGATTCGTTATTAAATCAATAAAAAATTACAATCTGAGAATGAGACAGAACTCAGAAAAAAGTTCAAACACTTACTGTCAATGAATCCGTTATACATTATTCGTTTCCAAGTTATTTTTAGCGAAGAAAAGAAACGTTCCGTATAATATGATATAAAATTGCTTTCTCCTATATACCCCCTCCAAGAGTAAGGATCTTTTGCAACTTGAGAACCACATTAAATTTTGGCGCATGAATGTCCACTACCTGGAGGAAAAATAGAGGCCTTCTGATTGGTTAGAAGTTAGAGAAAAGTGATCTATGTGATCAATGCACAAAGACGGTGTTCTGGTACTTCCAAAAGTTATCTCGAGTGTATGAACTGTGTTGTTATCAGGGGCGTAGCCAGACCTTTTTCAGTGGGGGGGGGGGGGGGAGTGGGGGTGTAGAGGCGATTACCCACAAAACTAGCCACCAATTACCGACAAATATATCAATGCCAATGTCCCAATGCCTACAATATTTAACTCTATAAACCCGGGGCCAGGAACTAAGTTATTTTTCAGTTTCCCTCCTCCCGCGCGAAGCGCGGAAGCTATGACGTTTCATTTAATTATTAGTGAAAGAAGACCATTCGTTGTACTGTTCTCGACTCTTAATCCTATTTTGAATTCAGTTTCCCCCCCCCCCTCCCGCGCGAAGCGCTGAAGCTCTGACGTTTCATTAAATCATTAGAGGGAAAAGACGATTCGTTGTACTGTTTTCGACTGTTAATCCTTGTCTTGACCGATTTTCCCCCTTCAGCGCGAAGCGCGTAAGCTTTGACGTTTCATTAAATTATTACTCTTAATCCTTGTCTGAAGCGAAGCGCGGAAGCTTTCACGTTTCATCAAATTATTAGAGAAAGAAGTTGATTCGTTGTACCGTTCTCGACTCTTAATCATTTTCTGAATTTTCAAAAATGTTTCTTTGTCCGATAAAAAGTCACAGTTCGTAGGGGAAAAAAAGTTGCCGGCCGACCGACATAATACATCTCACCGAATTCAAACTTCTGCATTGATATAATACACGAGGATTGAGCAAGAATATCGACACATCGGACCCGACACAGAAACATAATAAATCTATGGTATCTTTCTTGCCCTCTCGACGTGCTGACTCCACCCAACATCCCTCTCTCTCTTACTCCCACCCCTCTTCTCTCAGGCTCTTAACCCCCTCTCTCTCCTCTGTTTCACCCCGTTTCTTTTTACCCTTTTCTCCTTTTCTTTCTTTTCTTTCTTTTCCTTTCTTTCCACTCCTTCCTCTTTTTCCTTTTTCTCTTTCGTTCTTCTCTTCTCTTTTCTTTCTTTCCTTTCTTATCCTTTTCTCCCCCCCCCCACTTTCCCACACATTTCCCCCTCCCCCTTTTCATCATTTTTCCCGACAGCTGCGCAATTTTACCGACAATATCCTGTCAGGTGTGTGTGTGTGGGGGGGGGGGGGGGGAAGGGGGTTGTCACACCCCACACACCCTTTAGCGAGTAGCGACGGCCCTGGTTGTTATCCCATTATTATTTTAAAAGAAATGAAATTCCTCATGCTCTCGCACCTGTCTTATATCGTTGTTTAATTCTCTTTCATTTTTTTTCCTTTCTCCTGTCACTCACAAAAAAGGCTCTTCCCCCCTTTTACCATCTCTTTTTTGGTTCTTCTTCTGCTTTTTTAAAGGGGGGGGGGGCACGCGCCCCTTGTGCCCCCCTGAATCCGCCACTGATATATATCAGTGGTATATATATATATATATATATATATATATATATATATATATAGATATATATAATTATACACGAGAGATTCGATCAGAATTTGGACTCCGGAGGGCATACTTTAAAGTCTCATCTCCCTGGGCATACTGTGTATTTCTGAAAGTCCTATGATCAAATCTCTTTGATGGTCTAGTAAGAGCGCCATCTATCGTTCATGTATGGAAGAGAGAATATAGCAGAAGTATCAACATCATGGATGTCTTTGACGAAGGAATATGTGATGATATTTTGCCAGAGGACTGGGCTAAAGTAGAGCGATCCAGAAAGACAGTAAGTGTCGTAATTTCACCATATAACCTAGCCTAAATTGGCACCCATATGCCTGCGACTACGTGAAAGAGTGATGTAAAAAAGCTAAAAATGCGTGCGTGATAATGAGACATGAATTTAATGAATATGATGATATTGCATTGTGATTGGCACATACCCATGCGTGCGCGTGTGCGTGAAGAGAGATGTAAACAAAGCCTAAAAATAAAATGCGATTGTAATCACCTTAACTAGGCATGCGAATTTCATCAAAAACATAGGAGTACGTGTACTGGTAACAGGTAACCAAAATGCTATCGTTATCACTCCTCCAGTATCAAATTTTCATGTTTTGAATGAAATTCTTGACCGATTTGTGCTTTGTTAGTTTGTACGAGAAGATAGAAAGAGTCCACCGTACCGTCAACTACGAAGCCAGTGGGTGGGTGCAGGAAGGGCCTAGGGCTGTAGGGGCGCTGGCAGTAGGGTCGCTGGTCCGAGAATGAGGATCGTCCACATAAACGAGGTCATACGAGGATATCCTCGTAAAGGCGGACAAATTGCGTCCTATAAAATAAGGATCGTTTGAGAAATTTTCACAGACATTTTTTTCATCAGTGCTCTGCTCTTTCGGGTTCCACATGAAGAGGGCATCCTGACCTCCTCACTCTAAAAGTAAAGATAATAAATTTGTATTTTTCATGTTATAATTTTCCCTTCATAATAAGTTAAACATTAATCAGTTTTCTCAAAACTTGCAAATTGAATATAACAAAAAACATTCTAGGCCAAATTAATTCAAACATCCAACAACTTTTTATTATTATTCTTTGTTCAACCATGTGACATGTCAAAGTGTGAGATGCATTTTTCAACCCTCTAATTTTCACTCTTTGTGTTATATTTTAGGATGGCTACAAAGAGGGCATAGCAGCTGGGCAGGAATCATGTCTTCAGCAAGGTTTTAATTCAGGCTTTTCACAAGGTACGAGAGCAAGTTTCAGCTACAGTTTCATCAAAGGAATCATCAAGTAAGTAATGTCCGGTGGCAAGTTATTTATCAACATTTGCCACCCTCCACCCAGGTGTGGTAAGTGGGTACCAGGTAGGAAGAAATTCCTGGAATGCTTGAGCACCTTATAATAATATAATCCTGGGAAAGGGTTCATGTTTTCAAGAATGTCTTAAATTAGTCTGTGGAATTAACTCTTTTGATGAAAGATGGGATATTGTTCCATTCTTTGGAGGCTGTTACAGTGAATATGTGATCACTAGCTTATTCAGATTGTTATTTGTTATAAAGTGATGATCAATTTTTAGGAGATACAAGTAATTGTAATTTTTTTATGTTACAGAGTAAGAAATAGGAGAAATGTGTTCTGGGGGTGTTTCATAAAGCAGTGCATAAAGTTACGCATGTCTTTACGGATGACTTGAATATGAAGAGCTAAATGGAATTCTCAAATCCTTTTAATGGCATAAGCTAAAGTTGAAAAATGCAGATGTAGATTAACCTTATCATTATTTACAAATATTTTAATGCAATGTGTGTTTTGGGCTACAATTTAATTAAGATTATGGGAAATACAGTCAAACTTTGTTAAAATGTCAGGAAAAACTTTGGGCATCCCATTTGCTCTTCATATATTGAAATCATTTGTAAATTCATTCATAACCTTACGCACAGCTTTATGAGACACCCCATGGGTGCATAACAGTGTTGAGCCCTGGATATGTGTACATATTGAAGCTGAAGTCAAGCTAGACTGGATGATCAAATGTAATCAAATTATTCTTTCCTGACAGTGCCTTGATTACCAGCCTTCATTCCAGAGAACAAGATTTAGATGATGATGCTGTAACCCCGGCAACCATTCAAGATCTAGAGGCTATAATGTCCGAGTTAGATTCTCTTCAGCTGGAGATGGGCTCTACGAAGATACGCTGTATAAGCAGTGGAGATACGAGCGGTTCGTCTAAAGGTCAGCTTATGTGTATTCTGATAAGTATGCTCTTATAGGGCCTAAACAAAAAGATGTTGCATTGCCCTTTAGGTGCCAAAACATACGTTGGTCAGAGAATTTATTATTCTCTCTCCCTCTTTAGGCTGATATTTCTCAGTTTTTAATGGTTTAAAACATATTTTACTTATTCATTAAACATTTGTTTTCTTTCAAGCTTTTTTTAACGTCTAGTTAAAATGTACCAATCATCTGTTTTTGTTGTTGTTGGTATGCATAAAATCAATCTAAAAAGACTTTACCTGGCAATCTATAGTTAAATGGTTAAGGAGTATGAATAAAATAAAAAGATAACATAAAACCCTGCATAGACTTATGATTTATGGGGCATGGAACCCAAGACCAACTTGAGTTCCCTGGGGGCCCTATTCTATGAGAGTGCGTTTACTAGTGTACTAAGCAAGACATTTTACTGTTCACTGAAAATGTTATCGTATATTTATTAATTTGCAATCTCTTTGTAGAAGTAGTATCTAAAGCTCATATTTTTTAATTCAGTATAACCACATGAAACCCAAAACATCAAAGAGTTAAATATGTTTGTGTGATTAATACACTTAAATTAAAATATTGAAAAACTCCACATTAATATTTTGGTACTAATATATTTATGAATGTTTTCTCTTATTTTATGACTGCTCCAGATGCTCGAGAGAAGGAAGAGGAATGTCAGAAAGGAGGGAAAACAACTTGCTGTGTAGACTCAGGAAACAGTCATAATGACCCGTCATCTACAAGTTCAGCATTTCCTTGTCATCAAAAGAGAGACAAAGTGGCTAGTGGCGAGTCTACTCAGAAAAATGCTTCAGGAGGCATCGATGAAGAACATTTGTTTTATTCACAGTCACACAATCCAGGACTCAAGAAGATTGTAGAAAGACTAAAACCACATCTTGAACAAACTCACCATCAAGATATCCTCAGCGTAGCTCATCAATTCCTTTAGCCTTTCCTGATTTGAGTATGATACGAAACAGATTCTTCTTTCGTATGAGGTAGTAGCATCATATATCAAGTTATTTCTTGAAGCTGGGTAAGCCAGTTGACTTGTGCTGTAAGTACTGATATTGTTTTTGTTGAGTCAGTAGCAAAATCAACAGAGACTACCACTGACTCAATCCACGTTGAGATTGTAGAAAGACTAAAACCACATCTTTTACAAACTCACTATGAAGAAATCCTAAGTGTATCTCATTTATTTATTTAGCCTTTCCTGATGGAGTGTGATATGAAGGAGATAGTCTTGCTGTAAGTACTGATATTGTTTTTGTTGAGTCAGCAGCAAAATCACGAGAGACTATACCACTGACTCAATCCACATTGAGATTGTAGAAAGACTAAAACCACATCTTCTACAAACTCACTATCAAGATATCCTAAGTGTATCTCATCAATTCCTTTAGCCTTTCCTGATTTTAGTATGATATGAAGGAGATACTTCTTTCGTAAGAGGTAGTAGCATCATATATATATATATATATATACATCAAGTTATTTCTTGAAGCTTGGTAAGCCAGTTGACTTGTGCTGTAAGTACTGTAAGTACTGATATTATTTTTGTTGAGTCAGCAGCAGCAAAATCAAAAGAGACTATACCACTGACTTAATCATTATTTAGATTGTAGAAAGACTAAAACCACATCTTGTAAAAAACTCAATGTGCATTTATCAACGATTTCTTTAGCTCTTACTGATCAAGTATGATATCAGGGGTATAGTCTTGCTGTAAGTACTGATATTGTTTTTGTTGAGTCAGCAGCAAAATCAAGAGAGACTATACCACTGACTCAATCCACATTGAGATTGTAGAAAGACTAAAACCACATCTTGAACAAACTCACTGTTAACATATCCTATCGTATCTCATCAATTTCTTTAGCCTTTCCTGATTGAGTATGATATGAAGGAGATAGTCTTGCTGTAAGTACGGATATTGTTTTTGTTGAGTCAGCAGCAAAATCAAGAGAGACTGCTGTTTCATGTCGTCTGATTCTGTAGACATGTCAATTCAGTTCAATTCAATTTTATTTCACATCTCTTTAAAAACACATCAGAAGATATTCAAACAAATCGGTATAAATTAAACAATAAAGTATGACAACATTTATGGACATGGCACTTTGAAAGAAGAATGAAGGTTGGTGGATGTGAGGGATCAACAAAGGCCATTGGCCTGTCAAGGCTAATCCCCTATATTACCACACTTTAAGAGAAATACATATAAAACAAAACAATCAAACAAACAGATAATATAACATAGCATAATCACATAAAAAACAACATAACTAACAACATAACTAATTACATTAATCACATTAAAGATCGAATGAAACTACTCATTGTTAAGAAGATAAAATTCATATTTTTTCTGAATGCAAGAACAGTTGAGATTTCTTTGAGTTCATCTGTTAAACCATTCCAAAACTGTAGGCCTTTAAAACTTATCGTGGTTCTTGAAAAGATAAAATGATAAAAAGGTACATACATTTTATTGCAAATTCTTGTTTTATACTTATTGATGTTGCTATTATAATCAAAATAATCATCAAAGTTATTGGGTAATGATTGTTTAGAATCGGGTTACTCTTATTCAGATTCTTTGGCTCTAAGCAGACCCTCAGTGACCCATTCCGCTTCTCCACATAGATGACACTCGACATCCACGGTGTAGGCCTGTCCACCGGGGCAATAATCCCACTCTCCGCCAATCTGTCTAGTTCTGCCTCGAGTTTCTCTCTGAGGGCCACCGGTACTCCATGAGGTGGATATAGGTTTAACTGTGTCAACTAATTCCAGATGATAATCTCCTTCAAGCTTGCCTGTACCCTCAAAAATCAGCATGTCCACGTTCTCAGGCAACAAGCAGTTTCGTTTCGCTGTTACTATGTTCCCCGCTGTTGAGAACACTATCTCTGAGGGCACAGACGTGGCAGGGATCCCCAAGTACTTGCGGGCGAGTTGCTGGAGTAGTGGCAATCTCTTATGACTCCCTTGCCACCACATGAGGGGATTAACAGTTACATTGGCCGGCGGCTGAGCGAGAAACTCGTTATATTCTTCATCAGCTGATTTTTCCCTCGGAGCTGGAGCGGGAGCTGCGCCCATCAGATAATTGACGCCTAATTCGGCGGCATGCTCGTCATCGTCATCGGCCTGGGCCTCATTTTCTCTCTCAGCGTCGCAAGGCCTGCTGGAGAGCTCCTAGGCATCTGCAAACTTCTGCTTTGACTATTTCTCTGTCCACCTGAGGTAGAAAGGCCAGATCTTTGTACCGTGGGTCGGCTGCTGCGCCCATGGCTGCCGCTCCAACTTGAAAATCGGGCTGTCGAAACCTGGTCTCAAGCTGCAGCCTGGTTGTATTCTTGAAGCTCCGAATTGCTTCTTCGTCGTCGTCCTTGACATCGAGGTGATGTTGGATCAATCCAGAAATTATAGGATGAATTATAGAAGAACTGACATTTTCCTCCGCAGATACATACAGTACAGAAAGACAAAATATTGATTCTTTTATTTCAGGCTGATCGCGTAATGACGGTTATGTATAAATTGTATAAAGTCACACTCTCCCCTTCATGCTGAACCCTACTGTTAATTTTGAATCTCTGAACAATGATACTTGGTTGTAGGCATTCATGGTCTTTCACAAGCTTAACTAGCTTAGGTCATCAAAAGTCTTCTCCCTTGGCTTCACTGGAGCCAACATCGTCTTCATCAATTTGTATGTCTTTGCTCCAACAGACGATAACAATATTGACTTTTTCTTGCTTTCACCAAAATCATTGACATTAAAAAAAATGCTCCATACGTTCAATACATTTAGCCCAAGACTCACCAGAACCATCATACTGTTCAATACTCCCAATAGTCGCCATTCTCGTTGATTCTGGGACCGCAAAAAGACACAGTTCCAAACAGTACCAACTAACAAAATGCACCGACGGCTACACTAGTACAGACACTCACAAGCGCACATGAATTCCACACAACATACTCGATCAAAAAGTATCCCTTATCTGAACAATACATTCCATCAAAAACAGCTGCCAGTACTTTCATTCTAGCCGCCAATGTAGAAACTGAGTGTTTATACCTTGGAAGTACCTTGAATATGGGACATAGCAATGACAAGTCCAGTCTATGTTGTTGTGGTGATAGCCATCTTTTTTTTCAACTAATTTCTCATTCCATCGTAGCTGGCGCTAGGCCACTACAAACAACTGTTCAAATACCACACCAAGTACACTATTTGTCGGTTTCAGTCGAGTTTCATCTAGATTAACTGCTTGTCGTGGAAGCACATTGCAGCTGGCTCCTGAGTCTAGTTGAAATCTAACCTGTTCACCTTTAACAAGCATTACCGCGAAGACTCTGGTTTCTCTTGCATCCAGTGAATTCTATTTACCAGTTTCACTGAATTCAACTGTAACTGGACTGAGCTGTCATCTACTCCATGCACTTCCTCAAGAATCTTGGTTTTGCAAACAACTTGGAATTGGTTCATCTTTCCACACCTAACACATTTCTTGCCAAGTGCAGGACATTTTTCTTTCACCTGTTCATGATGTTTACCACAATACTTGCAGCATTTCACCATCTTTGGCTTTGATCTTGGCTTCTGTTCCTTATTCTTTTTTTTTTCTTTTTTTTCCCCATCGTTTATTAATTGAATAATATGTACATAAGAAACACATAATTATATTGATTACAAAGCCGACGCCGGGGGTTTCCACTCGTCTTCTTTGATAATGGTGTTTTGTCCATTTTTGCTGGTATAACTGTCTTGGTTGGCACAGCATTGTCTGTAAGGTCCCGTTTAAATTCGGCACAAAATTTCCCTTCCTTACACAAGTTTTCTGCTAGCTTGTATCTTTTCGCGAAGTCATTTTCTGTGAAGTGGGCATCGCATATTTTTACACGGTGGTTATGGAAGACACCGGGGCCTGTAAAATCCTTGAGATAACTTTTCACAAATTTCACCCATTTGTTTCGTCGACTGGGATCCTTCTTTAAACTCTGAAAGCCGTAGAAAAATTGCTGTCTTGTTTCAAGATGTTCTAGAACATCCGTAAACGATGCAGTTTGTCGGCATTTTGCCGAATTTCGACAGAAACACGTTTTTCTACTACATCGTGATGTTCGTAAGTGTAATTCGCGGGTACTTTCGACATGTCAGATCAGCGCGCGGTCAACACTACTGAGAGTGACATCAGTGGTGACGTCAAATCCCAACCTGCATCACGTGACTGTTAGTAAGCTTTTCAGAATTGAACGCTTGTGTTGGCTGAAAAATGCAAATTTCAACACTTAATAACAAAAAAACGGTAAATCAGAGAGTAAAAAAACTTTGATTTATTTGTTCAGTATATATCAAATAATGTATACCCAGCATTTTAAAAAATTTTGAACACATCAAAATACGAGTAACTCAGCACTTTAAATAAATGTTGAATATGTTTGTAAAATTACATTTTCTTTTTTGCGTATATAAAACATGAGAAGCTACATTCATTAATAGATTTTTGAAAAATACATATTTTGAAATCATATTATCACATTGCTTGCCTACAACTATATCACTGTATTCAATTTTTTTTTATTATCAAACAATACTTCTGTTTTTCTAGGAAACTGTACAATTTCAAAACTCTTTCTACTATTTAACCAATTTTTATCAAACTTTCATAAATTAATTTTTTCCAACTTGTTGTTGCTTTCACCTGAAGCGACTTGCTATTACGGTAGGATTGTACTATTAAAGATAACTAATAGAATCAGTGGTCACTGGTGTAAACCCATAATGTTGTCCCTTTCATTTGTGTTTCACTAAAAGCAAGAAAAATAGTCAATAAAACAAATAAAGCTACTTCCATTCTATATATTCATGTTAGTCACAACTCGCTCTGTATTGTCAACAAACTCAACATCCTCTTGAGAAGGGCCAGGTAGATGTTGGGTATCTGCTTCAGGTGTACATGTAGCTGCTGGCTTTGGGTCATCTTGTAGGATGACCTTTAGTTTGGATTTGTTGGCAGGAAGTTCCTCGTCATCGTCAAGATTTAACCAGTCATCCCATTCAGAATGGAAATACTGAATGGCGAAACGTCTACCGCCCAGATTGAATGTCAAGGCAATGCATGTGGTTAAGTCAGTGTAACTGCAGTCATCATCTGGCAGAGTTATGGCCCTTTTGACATCATCACACGTGACGTGGAAGTTATACATCATGGATACTACAAAGTAAAGCAGATATTAAGGAAAAGTGAATTTCCTCTTGGACTTCTGTTCCAATAATCTCGCTGCATGCCTCTCAGTTCAATGTTTTTGATGAAATAATTATTGTCATTATTCAATCTGGGCGCCAGGTTCTTTATTTCATTTTGGACAATGGAGCGGATTGCTGCCTGCATTTCCTTCCAATCTCGCATTTTTGAAGATCCATTGTCTGCCGCTTTCTTCCTGGGGGTTCTTCAGTGGCTGTGCAGGTTGTTCCCAAGAGGCAGATATCTCGTTGATGCCACTTGACCTTGTCTTGATTTTCAACTTATTTTGTCTTTCTACCTCTTGTCCTACAATGTTGGTAAGGGCTTCTCGGACCTCTTCATCAGACCTTGTTTCTGTTAGGTATGGCTTCAACTCAAAATAATAATAATAATAGAGAATATATAGAGAAATTTCTCTATGCACTTTACTATCATGACAAATTTGAATATATAAACAACATAATGAATTAACAAAGTAGAAAAGCAAATGACAAAAAAAAACATTTATGGGGAAGTTAACCAATTCACCTTTAATTACACCTAAGTCAAACTATTTGACACGACATATTACAAATTCAACAAACACACACCCATTATGTTGAACCAACCTCCTAACCAGCAAAAGGACAAGGCAGCTCTAGGAAGCCCTCAAAAACATATAAGTTTTCAGGGCTCATGACGGATGGTGTCATTTTGTAGGCCTATGGAGACAGCATAAAGAAACATCTTCTGTACTTGGTTCTCATTGTAGCTCACGTCAGACCCAGCTTCCTGACAGGCAAAGAGAACCTTTTGCTTTAAGTCCATCGACCGAAGGATGAAACTCATGTTCTGATTCACGGCTCCCTTGAGCAGCAGTTGACAGCTCGTGAAATAGTGCCGTAGCATCCTTTTCCCTGTAGTGAGCCCATAAGATCTTCCGAAGAGTGGGTAAGTCAAGGCCAGACCTTCCTTCGAGGTAGCTCCAGATCCGAAGCCCGGGACTAATGGCACGAATGACCTGCTCCACCACCTCTTCTTCAGCATATTTCTTGCGAATCCCACTGTCTATCTGTCAAGCGAGGCTAGAGAAAGACAGCTCGTCCTTCTGCCTGGGGGGTCTCCAATTTGCCCCACAATCCGGAACTCCTTCCTGAATGCCACGCACGTTGGTGGTGAGAACAGAAGGTGCGACATCATCTGGCTGGGCTGCTGTCACGCTTTGGGTTACCTGAATAATCTCCTTCACATCAGAGTAATGTTCAAACCCTTCCCCTTGGACATTCCCAACCTTCCCAACCAGTACCTCCGTCACCTTACCCCATACTGCCTTACCTTCATCTTCCAGCTCCTCTACTTCCTCGCTGCACAGATACCGCTGCAGCATTCGAAGGAGCCCAACACGTCCCTTCGACACGTCAGCCCCTGGCCTCTCTAGAATCTCTGCAACTTTGAGGAGCTTGTATCTGCGTTCAGCCGGTCGTTCACATCGGCCACCAGATCCTCGAAACTCGCCATGTCTGCGGTGGGTCAAGCGTCAAAAGATTCCCTTATGCTTAGAGTCAAACGTTGCAAGTCGTAGTCCGATTCGTTTATGGTGGATGAGGCATCATAGAGTTAGGCTGCTGGCGTGTAGTCTTCACCCATGAATACGTCATCCAGGCAGTGCCTCTAGAAATTCAACACAATGGAACACTCTTCTGTCCACTTCCACTTGGTATCCTTTTTCTTCAAGGCATACAGTGGGACAGCCTTATCTGCAAACCCTGGTATACACTTCTGATACCATCCAATCATTCCCAGAAATCTCTCTAGTTCCTTGACAGAGGTAGGCACGGGATACTCTCTGATGGCAGACACCTTCAGGTTTCAAGCCATCAGCCCCAATGAAATGGCCAAGAAACCTCATCTCCCTATGTAAGAACTGGCATTTCTCAGCATTCACAGCAAGCCCCGCAGTCCTTAACCTACCCAAGACTTCCCTCAAGTCTTTGTAGTGATCTTGTGTGCTACCAGAAAAACAGACAGTATCATCCAAGTAGACATAGCAACACCTTCCAACAAGATCACCAAGTACAGTATGCATCAATCTTTGGAAGCTCGCTGGCCCATTGACATCCCCAAAAGGAAGTACTTTGAACTGAAACAGACCTTGTTCGCACACAAACGTAGTCTTCTCTTGATGATTACCCCAAATGAAAGGGAAGAATACACCTGACCAAGAACAAGACTTCAAACAGGATAGTTTAAGTTGAAACAACAGTAATAATAGCTTTATTCTAAGTAAGACTCTTGACCATAGCTGCTGCTATCCTTTTCCAAGTCACTGCATCTTTTCTCTTACTTTTGTACATTACATTGTAAACCCTTGTACTATATAGATCAATTTGCACAATACAATACATCAAAACAACATGAAATTGAAAGGGAAGGAGGGCCGACTAAAAAACAAAGCTTGTAGGGTGTAGGCCCGGCTGTGTAAGTAATTATGAATTATTATTTTATTAGAAGAAGAAAACAAACAATAACAATAACTGATTCAGTAATACATAAATTATTTTTAAAGGCAAAACAATGATAAATACATACATAAAAAGAAACAATCAAAGTTACACAAACATCAAAGTTGCATAAAGTCAGACTACAGATTATATACTGTATACGTCCTAGCCATGGTGTTGAAATTATTTTCTACCTCTCATTTGTTTAAAATTTCACTTAATGAGGGGAAAAAACTTCTCAGCAGCTTAGTATTGCAAGGTATTTTCCTGTTTATCACCTACAAATAAAAGAAATTTGACAAAAGTTGTTTTTTGGAGGGTTTTACCAAAACTGTGCATAACCTTTAATATATCAGAAGAAGTATATGTGTACAATTATCAACTGTACATTAATGTAACGTATACGGTGCATGTAGCCTATTTTTTGTATCGCTATGTGGAGACTGTATATAATCATTGTAAACATGTCCATTCCTCAAAGGAATATTTGTGATATTAATTGTTTATTGACATTGAAAATAAAAATATGTGATTTGCTGGTTTCTAGTGAAGTCTTTCATTTTCATCTTTATTGAGAATATCCATCCTTGTCGTTTGTCGGTTATTTAGGTGATTATAAGATGTTCACTTTTTTGTTTCTCTCTCTATCCATCTGTGATGAGCAGGTTGGATATGTTTTGATATGAATTGTGAAGGTTCACGAGGGCCAATTATCATTATTTTACCATTATTCTTTTGGTATTTATTTATTCATGTATTTATTATTAAGATTTTTAAATTTTATTCATGAGCTTTAGTTTGCATTGTATGTTTAGGGTTCTTTGCTGGCACCCTAGTGCAGTCAGCTGCACATATTACTATTGTAAAGATATATTGCAAGTTAACATACCAACATTGCACTCTATAAATAAATATGAAATGACTTACGAGGAAAGGTTAAGTGTATTTCAATGCTTTCTCCTCTTATGAGGAGGGATGGGGAAGAGAGATATTCCTGTGCAGAAAAGACTGGGCTGAAGATAACGAGAGAGGGAGATCGAGATAGAAAGAAAGAGAGAGAGAGAGAGAAAGAGAGAGAGGAAGGTAGATAAGAGAAGAGACAGTCAGTGGAAGCTAGTACACAGATAAATATTGAGAGAGAAAGATAGAAAGATCGAGAAGAGAGATAGAAGCTATAATACACAGATATATATATTGAGAGAGAGAGAAAGATAAAAAGAAAGAATGGAAGGTGTAAAGATGAATGGGACATGCAGTACATAGATACATTGAGAGAGAGAGAGAGAGAGAAAGATAGAAAGAAAGAGTGAAAGGTTTAGAGAAGATAAGAGACTGTAAAAGCTAGTACATAGATAAAAATGAGAGAGAGAGGGAGAAAGAGATACGGTAGATAGAGAGAGAGAGGGGGGGGGGGTGCGGCGGTAGAGAAGAGGATCGATAGAAGCTAGAATACATATTGAGAGAGAGAGAGAGAGAGAGATCCCCTATGCATCAAACGCACCTTGACTTTACAAACCGTGTCCGTAAATCTGACATCTGTAACAAAATAATGAAACATTGAACTTGAGCTAGGGGAAACACCTTCATGGATGTTTTTGTTATTGATCGAAATTAAGTCACTTGACTAGTGGGGAAGTTCTGGGTTTCTTTCAAAAGTTGGTTTCGTTCCTACTCCCCGTAGTTTCCCCCACTTTTTCATCATTCTTTTAAAATAGAATTACAGCAAAAACTGTTTTGGATTTCAATTGAACAATTCTTGTTCGATCATCTATTTTCTACAGGGACTCATATCGACTCCCGCCCCCCCCCCCCCACTCCGAGAACGGACGGACCCCATGCATGTTACCAAAATGTCTTGTATTGGGGTACTTTTCGTGCGACAAAGTCTGGCCCGAGAATTGTAAAAAAAGGGGTGTATTAACTTTTCACCCGGAGATTTCTTTAAAAAGGGGGGTGTTTTTTCTTTTTTTCTCTCATCTCTTTGGACTCCTGAGAAATTATTCCTAATTTAGGGGGGTACATAGAGCATTTTTCAGGATTTAGGGGGAGCTCCAAGGTGGAAAAGCCCGCGAAAGGGGGGTTCAGAAATATTGGCAACACTCAGATAGGGGGTGCTTTCAAAAAGAGGGAACAAGCATATACGCGAACCCTAAATAACACTGAGTGGGGGGGGGGGGGGGGGGGGGGGGGGTATCGACTATGTCTGAAATAATTATGTGCTGGATTTATATCGGAAGCGTGTCTTCGAGATCACGTTAATTTCCCCCGTGGCTTTCCATACACTCAACTCGAGATCTCGACGCAACAATCTTAATAAACATGGATGCCTCCACAGGCAAAACGCCATCTTCTCGGAAACATCGAAATGTTTGCCCGGATCGACCGTTGTATCGTGATGGGAGGCGTGACAGGGCGGTTAAGGTATATAGCTACACTTTTCCTGTATCTTGAATATTGATTTGATTTACATACTAGATCTAGAGACTCGACTAGATCTTAGATCGACTAGGGCTGACTCTACCTAACCGAAGGCGTCGGCGGCGGAGCTGCCTGGAGTAGCCTCTACCCTCTACCGGGCTCTAGCTATAGCTAGGCACTAGTCTATTTGAAAGAAAGTATATTTCCTGTCCTATCTATCTCCAATTCTCCATTTCTTTCTCTTCTCTACTGTACTGTAGCTGTACTGTATCAAAATCAAGGATGTAGATCAGTTTACCCCTTACTCCTAATTAGGCTAAGCCAATTTTGATATTCGTTCAAATTAATGGCAGTTGGCAATGCAATGCACCTCTAATAAGAGTAAGACTATAGGACCAAGGCTCTACCTCTAGAATCTAATTCAAAAGATTATCACAGATTATTGATAATGAAAAATCACAATTTGATTTGATGTTGAGTACAGAGTAGGACCTCGTCTGTGACTGTGAGTGTGAGTGTGATTGTGATCAAATAGAAACTGAATTTTATTCTTATGATCTTAGTTACTTAAGTGTAGATCTAACTCTAACTAAGTTAGTGCAGGGAGGTGTCATGACACCTCCTGGTTAGTGTTTATTGTTTGTAAATATCCATGTGGCAATTGTTAAAGGGGCTTGTTATGCCTATAATCTTGCCATTTTACTTCATTTTTCATTCATTACGAAAATTCCTCGCTAGAGAGATTCCGACTTTAGTGTCCCTAACTCGGATATTGTCTCATAGAGTTTGAAAACGAGCCTGGAGAAGGACCTCCCGTTCTTATCACTTTCCTAATCCATTGCCAATAACGCGCTGATAAGACCCGTCAACAGAGTCTGGCTGAAGAGAAAATGTGAAGAAAAAAATCCCAAAGTTACACAAATCTGTGTTTTTTTCTCCCGAAATTTGTTCTTAGGGATTCATTTGCCCCAAAAAACTTCAAAGCACAAAAATCGGGCAAGTAATACCGGAGATATGATATTGATACTCCCGAACAAATTTCAGATTTGACTCACTTCAGGAATCTTTTTCCCCCTTCTTCTCGTGGAGAGAGCTGTCAATCACGTTTCGACCGGCTGTTAAGCAGCTGCATCAGATTAAGCCCTCTTATGACTGACCAGCTTGTATGACTGCGCATATTAGTGCACATGTTTTTTGATTTCATGTTTTATTTTGAATTTGATTTTATTACCAGAAATTTGAAAATGAACTGCTACCTCAAATGCAATTTTGAACGGGAGAAAATGAACCAGCAAAAGCGGAGATAAATATGAGATCGTGCGCTCAGCCCACGCTGCTCAGCCTACGCTTGAGCGCAGATTGTCGCATAGACATACGGGTCTTTTCCGAGTTTCGTCCAATTTTCTAGCGAGGCACTACGTGTACGTTCTTCCCTCGCTGTAGCACGTACGGTCTCGTTAGAAAACTGTATGCGTAAGTGCACTGCGTGCGCTGGCATCAGAATCAAACTCGGAGAAGGTTGTGTGACAATTTCTGAGCTGCGTGTCTGAGCGATGTTTATGTTATTGTTGTTGAATGAGAGTAGTCTATTTACTAGACCTTCGCTGTGTTCTCCTCATTGCTTTTGTTTTAATAAACCGACCTAAGCAGTATTCTTTCTGTCTTAAATTCATTATGTTATGTTACTACCTTTTATCACCTTCTCTAATGTTATTGTTTGTTTTTATTATTCCATTATTTCCTTTCCTATCTTTACTTATAATACGCTATTCTTTGTTTCTTCCTTCTATCACCTTCTTTTTTCTGTCTTTCCTTATGTTAATCTTTGTTTTTTCCATCTTTCATCCTTTGTTTTATCTTTCCATTATGTATTCTTAATCATTTTCTATTTTTGTCTTAATTACTTAATGTTATTCTTTGTTCTATCATCTCTTATGTTATTGTTTGTTGTTATCATTTTATTATTTCCTCTTCCTCTCTTTCCTTACGCTATCCTGTGTTTCTTCCTTCTACCACCTTCTCTTATGTTGTTCTTTGTCTTCATCATTTTCTCATTTTCTTTTTCTGTCTTTCCTTAAGTAATTATTAATTGTTTCTTCCTAAAATCACCTTCTCTTATTTTATTTTTTGGTCCGAAGCGCGGAAGCTTTGAAGTTTCATTACATTATTTATAGTGGAAGAAAACGAATCGTCGTACCGTTTCGACTCTTCATCCTTGTCTTAAATAAGACCCCCCCCCCCCCCCGCGCTTTTTTACGTTTCATTAAATCATTAGACAAAGAAGGCGATTCGTTGTACCGTTCTCGACTCTAAATCTTTGTCTTAAATAAGACCTCCCCCTCCCGCGCTTTAACGCTTCATTTAATTATTCGAGAAAGAAGGCGATTCGTTGTACCGTTCTCGACTCTAAATCCTTGTCTTAAATATTACCCCCCCCCCTCCCGCCCTTTGCGCGGAAGCTTCAACACTTCATGTTCGTCGTACCGTTCTCGACTCTAAATCCTTGTCTTAAATAAGACCCCCCCCCCCTTCTCCCGCGCTTTTAACGCTTCATTTTGAGAAAGAAGACGATTCTTTGTACCGTTCTCGACTCTACCAGGGCAAAGCGCAAAAGCTTTGACGTTTTATCAATAATTGAGAAAGACGATTCGTTGTATCGTTCTCTATTTTTTTTACCGTTTTGGGGGGCTATAGGGGGGTGGCCGGTGGATCCGCGCCTCCCCCCCCCCCCCACTCACGCGCAAAGCGCTGAAGCTTTGACGCTTCATTAAATTATTAGAGAAACAAGACGATTCGTTGTACCGTTCTCGAAACTTAATTCTTGTCTTAATTACACCCCCTCCCACTCTCGCACAGAGCGTGGAAATTGAATTGGTTTCGCTTCTCTCTATTTATAATTCTCAAGCGCTGATGATATTGGCATTCATTTTCTTCATTCATTTTCTTTACTTTCCGTTGGCTTACTTTTTGTAATAAAGCCGGTAACAGCGATATTTTAATTGTTTTTGCTTCGCTCTCTCCTGCGATCCGTCTCTCTTTATATTGCTCAAGCGCTCAATTGTTATATTGACATTCATTTCTTTCTTTCCGTTGCTTACTTTTTGTCATGATAGACGGTAGTAACATCAGCCAAATTGAATTGTTTTCGCTTCTCTCGATCTCCCGCGATCTGTCTCTCTTCATAATTCTCAAGCGATGGTGATATAGGAATTCTTTTTTTCATTCATTTCTTTCTTTCCGTTGGCTTACTTATTTCATAATAGACGGTAACATCAGCTATTGAATTTTTTCGCTTCTCTCGATCTCCCGCGATCTGTCTCTCTTTAAAATTCTCAAGCGCTGATGATATTGGTATTCATTTTCTTCATTCATTTTCTTTCTTTTCGTTGGCTTACTTTTTGTCATGATAGACGGTAGTAACATCAGCCAAATTGAATTGTTTTCGCTTCTCTCGATCTCCCGCGATCTGTCTCTCTTTAAAATTCTCAAGCGCTGATGATATTGGCATTCATTTTCTTCATTCATTTTCTTTACTTTCCGTTGGCTTACTTTTTGTCATGATAGACGGTAGTAACATCAGCCAAATTGAATTGTTTTCGCTTCTCTCGATCTCCCGCAATCTGTCTCTCTTCATAATTCTCAAGCGATGGTGATCTAGGAATTCTTTTTTTCATTCATTTCTTTCTTTCCGTTGGCTTACTTATTTCATGATAGACGGTAACATCAGCTATTGAATTTTTTCGCTTCTCTCGATGTCCCGCGATCTTTCTCTCTTTAAAATTCTCAAGCGCTGATGATATTGGCATTCATTTTCTTCATTTATTTTCTTTCTTTCCGTTGCTTACTTTTTGTCATGATAGACGGTAGTAACGTCAGCCAAATTGAATTGTTTTCGCTTCTCTCGATCTCCCGCGATCTGTCTCTCTTTAAAATTCTCAAGCGCTGATGATATTGGCATTCATTTTCTTCATTCATTTTCTTTACTTTCCGTTGGCTTACTTTTTGTAATAAAGCCGGTAACATCAGCGATATTTTAATTGTTTTCGCTTTGCTCTCTCCCGAGATCCGTCTCTCTTTATATTGCTCAAGCGCTTAATTGTTATATTGACAAGTTCATTTTTGTACATTCATTTCTTTCTTTCCGTTGCTTACTTTTTGTCATGATAGATGGACCAGCCAAATTGAATTGTTTTCGCTTCTCTCGATCTCCTGCAATCTGTCTCTCTTCATAATTCTCAAGCGATGGTGATATTGGAATTCATTTTCTTCATTCATTTCTTTCTTTCCGTTGGCTTACCTTTTGTCATGAAGCCGGTAACATCAGCGACATTGAACTGTTTTCGCTTCTCTCTCTCCAGCGATCTGCGTTCATTTTCTTCATTCATTTCTTTCTTTCTGTTGGCGTACTATTTGTCATATAAAATCCGGTAACATTAGCTAAATTGAATTGTTTTCGCTTCTCGATCTCCTGAGACATGTCTCTCTTTATATTTCTCAAGCGCTGGTGTTGTAGGCATTCATTTCCTTCATTCATTTTTTTTTCCGTTGGCATAATTTGTGTAATATTAAAAAGCCGGTAACAGCGATATTGAAATGTTTTTGCTTCTATCTCTCCCGCAATCTGTCTCAAGCGCCGGTGATATTGACGTTTATTTCCTTCATTCATTTCTTTCTTTCGGAATGCAGCGTCTCGTAAATATGCTAGTAACACTTATTGTTCGACTTGAGTTCCAAAGTTGCCAGTTGCTGGTACCACAATACATCTAATTTACTTCTCGCAGGTCCATGCTGAAACCAATAATTATTGTCTGAATTCTAGACTAACCCAACGCTCCAGGCTCGCCTAAATGTACGCAAGCTCTGTTGATACAGGGATTAAGTCAGAGGGATAAGTTCACCAGCAGATAAGGAAGGGTCTTGTTTACTTAATGATAATGACTATATCAAAGTGCTTAGGACCAAACTAAAGTCTATGAGACAATTCACTGAATTTTCTCTAACGGAGAGTTTTCGTCATGTTTTATTCCATTCATCATTAAAAAAACATACATAGGTCTAATTACATGTATATCTGAGCATTGGGTTCCTGTGCATTCTGCTCTTGGCATGGACTGTAAACTTCTCTGGTGCCTTCTTGCAGTTATTGAAACTGCTAATAATGAACTATTCATCAACTTTTCCCGGAATTGAAGCATTGAATTACTGACAAAAAAAGAAAAATGCACAGTGAAGATGAAGACCGATTCCAGCTACTAGAGCTCTCGATACTATTCCGGATGAAAACTCTGACGCTTCTTTCTGGCATTAGATAAGATTTAGAACAAGCATACACAAACCTAGACCGAAAACTTCAGTCTCTCTAATCGTCAGTTGTTCCACTGAGACTACGTCTGGCTCCACTAGACCTCCGATTATAGAGACTGAAGTATGGCCTATCGGGACTGTATGGGACTGTACGGAACAAATGGTTCGGCTCGACCGGACCGCGATGAATGAGATATGCAACGAGATTTTCACTCTTTACATCCTCATAACTGCTGCAATTATGATAAAAATTAAAAATAACATATACATAGCTTATTTGACTTACGATAGGTTGCTCATTTAGATCCTAAATTAATGATTAATCCGAGAAAGTCTCGTCGTCAACATTATCCATCTTGGTTTTAGTTGATGAATATTCATTTTTTCCTTTTGAACGTCCAATAGCTACCGTAGCTACGTACGAGTCAGCCCGGCTTGACCAACGAACTCCCACGAAACGAGTGCTCTGATTGGCCATTGGCTATGTTTTGGTAGGTTGAACCGGAAATATATCGGCCACCGGGTAATAATTCGAATGCATGAACGTACTGCCTCGCGGTTCTGAGATAAAATTGGATAACTCATAATAAGTAAGTCCGTAAATTATCATAAGTTCATATCATATCATATCGTAAGTTATCAAATTTTGATAACTGTAATTAGGACAAATGACATACCAACCTTATTTACATCTGATTTAGAAATCAGAAAATTAGATCTAAATAAAGAAAATCGGGGGAGAAATGTCGGGAGCGAAAAGATGTTCCGCTGTGGCTCTAAATTACCCCCACGGTACGAGATCTCTGGGTTACCATCTGTATTGGGGAATGTCAACAAATGTCAGTTTTATTAAAGAAATGACCCAAATCAGATAGTTATTTCTGTCTAACACAAACCCTAAATAACACTGTCAAGTGAGGGGCTGGACCGACCCCCCCCCCTCGGTTCCACATCATGACGGGTTCTTGAAAAGGGTGCTAGTTATTCCTTTGATAAAAAACCAAATAATCATAGCTGAATGGTTAATCTTTCATATTTTTCTTCCATTATCCCCCCACTTTGTCTACCTCCTCTCTTCTTTCTCTCTCTCTCTCTCTCTCTCTCTCTCCCTCTCTCTGTCTCTCTCTCCCCTCCTCTGTCTCTCTTTCCCCTCTTCACATGCAGGTTTTCACCATCAACCAGGAATCCCGCTACCTGCTTGTTCATGGGGTTCCTGATATCAACATCACCGATGAGCTTCTCAAACTCTTGTCCCTCTACGGTGTGATAGAGGAGTATCGCACCCTTGATGATGATCAGACTGCAGAGGAGTTCACCAAGACACATTGGATCAAGTATGCAAACATCCAGGCAGCTAGGTTAGTGTCAATGCTGCATATAGTGCACACTTAACTCTGCATTTTACTGTTCTTTAACTTAAAGCCCCACTGCATTACTTATAGCTACGTGCGCCCTCTATACAGCAAACAAAACCTAAGTGGTGACCGTTGGTCCCCCATGGTCACCTTTTTCGTATGTTAATTGAGAGTTGATTTGATGAGATAACCACCTGTCAGTGACCATGCAGGGAGGTCTAATCCCTCCTGGCCAAACTAGTGCAGATAGGCTTTAAAGTCAATTATCTCCCTCTAAAGGTGATTCCGTATATTTAATATCACATGGGACATTTAAACGGCATTTCCTAGACTTCAAGGAATGGGAATCCGCAGTGAAGATTGGTCTGATTGTATTAACAGTAAATTTAAACTTGAAAAGATATCAGAAATTTATATTTTCCCTCAAGAAAATATTCAATCATAAATGCATCCTAAATATTATTATTCAAAATATGCTTTTATACATCACCTTTATGGAAAAAATCTACTTCGTCATTAATATCGAAGAAAATGGAAGTTTTTGAAATTTTCTGTACTGAGCAAATTGGAAAGGAGCTCACGAGATACCTCACGGTGGTGCCAATTCAGGTTTGCTCGATTGCAACTTAAATAATTCATTACTTTCTTATTTTTAATCAGAATTTTCTCAAACTTTCATTGACCCTTAACTCTCATTTTTCTGCTTCTATCAAAACCAACTTAATACATTGAGTTCGGACTTCTCATTTAAAGTGGTGTTCTGATTTTCTGTTCATGTGACAGAGTTGCCAAGCGCAAGATGGATGACCATTCCTTCTATGGAGGATTCCTGCATGTGTCCTATGCTCCTGAGTCCGAGAGTATCCAGCACACCAGGGAGAAGCTCCAGCAGCGCAGAATGGATGTGGCACGTAGACTGAGGAAACTTGCACAAGAGAGGGCGCCAGATGTAGATGACAGTGAGTTGGGCTTGTTTATACTGTCCTCTGTAACCTCAGCAGACATTATGGTATACTTTGGGAAGACCTAAGAAACATTTCTCAAGATTTAAAGGGGGTGTAGCAGGGCAAATACTTGTAAATGCCATCTACGACTTCTTTTGGACAACTGCACGTAAACGAATTGACTTGATTAATTGTCAGCACGCGCTAGCGTTCGCGAAACAGACCGAAGTTCTCCTCACGCTTCAGTTTCGCGTATGTTGCACGCACGCAAATACTGCCGTCGCGGCGTCCATAGTCGTATTATACCCGATTGGACCCGAGTCAGGCCACGGGAAAGACACATAGTCTCGTCATGCTACACCCCCTTAAATGATATATTTACATATTTGTTACACATTTTAGGGAGGAATATCCCTTGATTTTCCTCAGAAATTCTGCTGCATTTTGTTTGATCACCTACATTTATAATGCCTTATGCACTGGCAAGGTGCCTTCTCGCCCCATATTGTGCCATCATTTATCCCCTTGCTGACCTGCAGATATGCAGCTAGAAATTATCACCATATGTTATAATTGAAAATACGGGATGCAAACTTCAGAGATTCACATGCAACAAAGGCACTAGAAGGGCAAAGACTCTAGTGCTCCCAAGCATATTGCTTGCTGTGAACAGCTTTATTTCAGTGGTGCCATCAACAGGTCACAAAAGTATATGACATAAGCCTATCTTCATCTTATAGAGTTTTGAAGCTGTGACGTCATACAAATCTATTTTGAGAATTTCTCAATTTTTTCTTCAATTTCCTTAAGAGCATCAAAAATAATATCCAACTGTCAAAACCAATTGAATATGTTAAGTATTGGCTGAATATTATCTGAATAAATACATGTCCTATGGGAACTCAGTGTTATATAATCTGGCTCCTAATGGTTAGGAGCCAGAGCATATCTCAGTCAATACTTCAATTGGTTTTCGACATTTGGACATTATTTTTGATGCTCTTTCGGAAAATGAAGAAAAAATTGAGAAATCAAAAATAGATTTCTGATGACGTCACACTTCACCACTCTATAGTGTTTTAAACATGTTTTGCTCTTGATGTAAGTAGCTTCATGTTGCTGTAATCTTTAGCTTTATATTAATTTTTGAATTCTTTTACTTGCTTTGAAATGAATAGTGATTATGTATGACAATACGCTGTTTATCTTCTTTTTTTTCAGGCATAGAAACTGTTGGTGCTTTGTCAAGCACAACAGAAACAAATGACACACACCTTGATGGACCTTCTCCTGTGACAGCATGGACGTCGACTCCACCTTCACAACAAATACATTCAGCATGTCATGGTCCTCCACTGGTGACTGCAGAGGGTGGATATGATCAAGGCCTCGGACATTCTATTCATGAGCATGGTAACCCTGATCAGGACATTGTGCGGTTCCCTCCGTCCCTCCCTGAACCCCCCGAAGACTACCTCCCTGGCAGTGGAACATTCCTAGCCAGCCAGACTTCCCAAGACTGCGCACTAAACATGACACTCTCCCTGTTGGGTACAATCCATTCCCTGAGGGGGTTGGTCAGCCCAATCAAGCTGGGATGGAAAATCCTCATCAAAATCGATCAGCAGTATCAGCAGTACCTACAGGTGCATTTGTTGGACCTTTGCGTCCCTCAGAGGGAGGTTCAATCAACCCTACATTAGATTCAGACATGCAAAGTCAATTGCCTCCTGGACAAAGATATCGGGAGTCGGGCGCAAGACCAAAAGATGGATCTACTCATTCTAAACAGACTAGTGGTCACCATAAATACATGGAGCAGCAGAATGATTATCAACAAATCCAGACTGGCCAGAGTCAAAGTGTTGGATTCCAAGGAGGATATCGTGATGCTGATTCTGATCATTCGCAAAGTGAGCAGAGACCAAAGCTGGTTGGTAAAAGGAGATTAAATTCCAACCCTTCAAGCTCTCCCGATAAGCAAACAGATGTGACACACAGCAATACACAATGTACTCCAAGCCTTACCAGGTATATATGTGTGTGTTTATGGTATTTTATTATAAAAAAATATCTATTGTTTAATTACCGGTTCAGCGTACAAAAATATGAAACCTAAAAATTTACATTAACATTTTAAAAAAATGTATGAATTGATTTAAACAATATATTTTTAAATACAAATTTTTGGACTATAGAACTGAATGATTTTTTTTTCATATATAGTTTTCTGCATATTAATTTTCAGAAAATGCCTAAAAAGAGGGCAGACGTTTCATGAAATGAATTGTTTCTCTTTCTTGATGTTGACTTTGCAGCCAGCATGCCTTTGTACCTCGTCCAGTTAGTACCAGAGCAAAGAGGTCAGCCTCCAGCATAGATGAAGCTGATCCACAGAATGGCCATCAAAGCTCCCCGACCCTAGTGACAGGGGACCCTTCATTCGATAGAACGGTCAGCAGTGTACGAGAACAGATGTTCCAGGTTAGCACATACATTCAATTTAAAGTTGCTCATGCATGGGTTTATAGAGAGCAGCACATGGACGTACCCACAGGAGCGTAACACCCATTGGCTCAGTGTTATGTAGTGATCGCCAAGTTGCCTACTTCACAAATGACTATATACCCACGTATGCACATCTTCAAAGGTTACAATGTACTGAGCCATTTCACTTTAAAAGATCATTATCGTCTTTGTGAAAAGTTAGCTTTAATTAACATTTCTCCTTTGGTATGAATGCATGAAGTGTTCATGTATGACATGAACATTTTGTGATATGAAACATTTGCGATCTGTAAGTGAGAGCAGTTCCATAGCAAGAAACCTTTAGAAATTTGCAAAATTCATTGTTGTGTCAGAAGTGATTCAGTTATATTTGCGTTGTATCATGCGTGAATCTGATCCACTTGCAAGATGCACCAACACATGTTTTTCACAGTATTTGGATAGAGTGATTCTCATTGTGAATAAGCATTTGTCTGCATTCATACTTCAAATAATAGTGCTGTCATTGTTTACCGTCATACTTTCAAAGAATGATGTCATTATCTATATTGTGTGAACTTTAAAGTTATTGGCAGCAAAACTTTGAGTTATTCAAAAGTATCATGAAAATTTAGATTTGTAATTTTCTCTCCTACCAAGTTCTTCATGTGACATGTTTCTAGATTGAAGAAGTAATAGAAGGATATGTTCCTTTTTGTGATAGCTATCTGAAGCAGTCGTGAGAAGCAGTACAGCTCCTAGATCTGTCATCCAAACAGCAATTATCCAAGCAAGGAACCAAGAGAGAATGGGTCTGCTACCACGCCCACCACCAACCAAGAGGCAGAGAATATGACATGGAGGAAACACCAGTCTGGTCACCTACATACCAGTATTAAAAATTTATTTTGTACAGACACTATATACAGGGTATGATCCGTGCGTGCGATACGAGCAAATGTTAATCGGACGTGCACAAGGCCACGTAAAAACACACCATCACGGGTGAGGTGAAGAAGGTTTGTACCTGCCGTATAAAGAGGGGGTGTGGAAGCACGCCAAGGACCACTTTCAAAGAATAAATGGCACTACCTTGTCAAACTTTGAGGCCCACTTGGCTGAGGTCATAAGGCGAAACCACATCTCGGGGCAGAACATCTTCGAAGCCTTCTTCTCGCTCCTGCACCCATGTTATCCCCTCACCACACCCAAAGTTGTCAATGCCAAACCACCTACCTCTCTTTGACGAGTGGAACCTTGAGAAAGCCAGCCTTGCAGACACATCGTCGACAAGGATGAGCGACGGGGAAGATGAAAGCGATGATAAGAAGACGATGTGACATCCTCCCTTACCCCAGTCGCCGTCTCCATGCCTACATGTACCTCAACAAACGAATGTCATTTGGATATTATTGCATTTAATCATAATAAACTTTAGAACTGATATACTTTTTGATCTGAAACTAGAACCTGCAAGTTTCTTGTTATTTGATGCATCATTTTTCAGCAATGCAATAAACATAATTATCAAATTGGTAATTGAGTGTCATTGTTGTTATTATTCAAGCCTGTGCCATGACATTTCCAAAGATCAAAAGGCCCCAATTCTATTATTTCAGTTATAGTTTTGATGCCGGTCTTGAGTAGCTTTTAACAAAAGAAATTAAGATTCAAAGGTTTAACTTGTCTTTCAACTGTTCATCTGGGTTAAAACCGTCAGAGAGAGAGAGATGAAGAAGTAAGAAGAGGCCGACAAACTGTTGTTAATATATTTTTTTCTGCTTTTCTTCTGAAAGAATTTTTGATATATTTGCCGCCACCCTGCCAAAGAACCCTGGATCCGCCTAAAACTGTACTGAAAACTTTGTTGAAGTGTAATTTGGCCCTCCTTTTTTTTTTCTTCTCTTTGTTCTTCCTCAATCTCGCATTGTGATACATGTATTTCTGTACTATCAGCTTGATCATCTTCTCCTGTCCGCGCTCTCTCCCTCCTTTCTAACATGTACTCATTCTTGGCTAGTCAATTTCATATTTTCTCTCCTCGACTCATTCATCTCCCTCTCTCTGACCCCATCTCTCACAATCCCTCTCTTCTCTCCTTTTTAACACGTATTCATTCTTGGCTAGTCACTTCCCCTTTTCTGCACTCCACCCACATGTATCTCCCACTTTTCCAGCACATACTCATTCTTGGCTAGACACTTCCCCTCTTCTCCACTCGAACCATATTCATTTCCCTCTCTCTGACCCCATCTCTCACAATCCCTCTCCTCCCTCTCTCTCTCTCTTCTCCCTCCTTTCCAGCACATACTCATTCTTGGCTAGTCACTTTCCCTTTTTTCCCCTCGACCCTCATTCATCTCCCTCTCTCTCTCTCTCTCTCCCTGACCCCATCTCTCTTAATCCCTCCCCTCCCCCTCTCTCCTCCCTCCTTTCAAACATGTACTCATTCCTGGCTAGTCACTTCCCCTTTTCTCCCCTCGACCCTCGTACAGCTCCCTCTCTCTGACCCCATCTCTCTCAATCACTCTTCTCCCCTCCCCCTCTCTCTCTCTCTTCTCCCTCCTTTCAAACACATACTCATTCTTGGCTAGTCACTTCACCTTTTCTCCCCTCACTCCAAATTCATCTCCTCTCTCTCTGACCCCATCTCTCAAAATCCCTATCCTCCCCCTCTCTGATTTCTCCCTCCTTTCCAACACGTACTCATTCTTAGCTAGTCACTTCCCCTTTCCTCCACTCGACCCACATTCATCTCCCTCTCTCTGACCCCATCTCTCTCCTACCCTCCTCCCCCTCTCTCTCCTACCCTCCTCCCCCTCTCTCTCTCTCTTCTCCCTCCTTTCCAACACGTACTCATTCTTGGCTAGTCACTTCCCCTTTTCTCCACTCGACCCTCATTCATCTCCCTCTCTCTGACCCCAACTCTCACAATTCCTCTCTTACCCTCCCTCCCCCCCCTCTCTCTCTCTCTCTCTCTTCTCCCATTTCGCTGTTCCCTTGTCTAGCCGTTAAAAATAGGGGTGGATATGATCTTCCCTTGGAATACCCAAACAAGATGCGTAATACGTAACATGTCTGTTCCCAATTTCTGCCATGGCTGATCGGTTCTGTCCCCCAATCAGTGGTTCATTTGTGTGGGTTTGAATTCTGCACAAATCAGTTTATACTGTGCGAAATGTTTCAGCACTCCAGGCGAGTATAGTACGTCTTGAGCTAGAGTCTAGTGATGTATTTTTCCAAGTTCATAATTCCTCATCGAGCATTCCTCATCGAGTTGGGAATTACAATCCTGTTTGATTAGAAGATCAATTGATTCTCTACCATCAACTTTTCTCTCACTTCCAAGTGCTATTTGATTTTCTGATGCACTAGACCAGTTTTCTCTCCAACTATTATTTATATTTTGTTAAAGATTAGAATTTCTTTGACACATATGATATGGTAACATTTATATTCAATTTAATTCATTTACAATCAAATTTCAAACTTTTAAATACATGGACATTTCATGTGTATATAATGACAAAACATAATTGCCCCCATCATACTCTATTAATAAGACACAAAGGCCTCTAATATGTAAGGATATTTAATGACTTATTCAACAAAGATATGCATAAATCATATTTTGTAATCGTGTAAACATTCGGTACATTAATCCTTACAGCTCCAATCAGGCAGTTTATTTTTATAATGCCCAAATTATAATATTGTTTAATATTTTTGGACTGAAAATAACTGTATAAGTTTGTAGACATGGTGGCACTGTAAGGATTAAATAATCTCAAATAAAATTATGGACATATTTTTGCAAATTACACAATCGTAATTACTGTCAATATTTGGATTTGCAAAAAGTACATGCCACTAAACATACCATGGGCAGAAAAGGGGAGAGAATAGTTAGATTGAAAAGTGCAGTGTGGAAGAAAAGATGAGTCATGGTAGAGGAGAAAGAGAAAGAAAGAGAAAGAAAAAGAAAGAAAAAGAAAGAAAAAGAAAGAAAAAATGTAGAAAAGTAGAAAGAGAAAGGAGAGCAAGTGTGTGAAAGATGCAAGGGGGGGGGGGGCACATAAAATGAATTTGCATTTGGAAATTAGGTGGTATGAATCTACTTCATTAAAAAAATACAAAATCTTCTTGAAACTTGGACATTTGCTTTCAAAAAGAAGCAAAAATTGGCTAATGCAGGTGGATAATTATGCAGTGACAATATGTATTTATCAACTTACCATTATCTTGAAATAAGATCTTACACATTGCAATCTTAATTTCTAAATAGCAATACAAAAAGAAAGACGTAAGAAAACAAAATTGAAAGCTGGGAGTACAAATATGAATTTCCATCAAACATTTAAAGGTTAATGCTGAAGAAGGATTCCTGATATTTTCTTCTAGGGTTGAAATAAGGGGAAAACATGAAAAGAAATGACAAATAGATACAGCTATAATGCTTGCCGCAAATGGAAAAAAAATAATCCACATATGCATTCCAGTAATTAATTTCAAACACTTTCTAATATCCTCCTAACTAATGCTGCACTGCATTTAAACCATGTTCTACACACATTCTCCTTTAAAACATTCAATAAATTTCTTTTCTTCTTCTTAATTTTCATATTCCACACATTCCTGAAGACGTGTTGTTTTTCCATCCATTGATCCGAGTCCATTATAATCTTAAAGCACCAATTCCCCCTCCCCCCAAGAGTATAAACACAAGAATTAAAAAAAATTGCCAAATATTACCTTGATTGAGATGATCTTCTATAGAAGGGGGAGGAAAGGGTACACTGCTTACTACAAGTCTTTGTGAAACACCCCCAGGACTCATCGTTATATCACCAATGCTTTATCTTAAATTGACTATGCTGATGATAAGAACTATTAGCAAGTCATCAACTTGATCATCATGATTTCAAAGTGATTAAGAAATCTATGTTGTGCTGCTCTCTTGCTTAATTGGGAGAAGTAGCAGAAGAATTGTTCAAAGCACCATACCCCTTCAATTAGTTTTAAAAGCAACTCAAAAGTAAAAAACAAAAACAAAACAAAACAAATTCAACATATCAGGATCATGTATTCTTACATTTACTTTTTTTTTTTTGAGTTGCAATCAAATGCAACTTTTTCATGCAATAGGACCTATGTCCTTTTCACATTAACATGTTCCCTCCTGAGTATTGTAACTACTGCTTACACCAGTCACCGCATCACTTTCAGAAATTGATCCACATGATCTGACATTGGTCAATGTTTTGGTTGGGGTAGGCCTACTACTACTACTACAATGTTTTGAATTTGAGTTGGATTCATGTCTTTTTTTTATGTTGTAAAAATTTATGATAGGAATTGATGATGATGATGACAATAATAATGATTGAAGTGATGATGTTGATGACACACATATGATGATGAAACCAAACAATGGGGATGAAAATGATGATGGATTTGGAAGAAAGAGATGACCCCTTTGATTTATGCCAAACATCATCATGTATGCATGAAAGTTGTTGATTACATGGACAATCATAAGTTAAAGATATGAGCAATGTTTCAAACCAGTTTGTTCGTTCGTGTCTCCTAAACTATCTACCTAACATAAATATAAGATCAAATTCCAAGTTCCTAAATTAAATCTTGATCTTCGGAGTGGTTGCTACAACCGGCCGTGTCAGACACGTTGCCCATAGGTGCAAGATAGGACTCTTGTAGTGTGCCCTGAACCAGTGCAATTCCTAAAGGGATCTGGTAGGCAGTCAAGGCTAGCAGTTTTGATTCACAAGACCTCTGACAAATATTTTACTGTCCGAAGGTTTTGTACCCGCTACTCAGTCCCAGGCCGTGGCCAGACTTGACTACAACACTGTTTTAAAACTGTATGTTTTGAAAGAATGTGTTCAACTTGATAGGAGCCTCATTTACAAGCATAAGTTTTCTTAGAGGTCCTGGCCTATAATGTAATTATGATACATATTTTGTTTAAATGCCAAATAAATTGAATTGAATTGAATATATCAGGAGCTCATTCTGCGCTCTATAAATGTATTATTATTATTATTATTATTATTATACACAAAGATATTGCCCACTCTTTTCAAGAAAATGAATAGTCATGTGAATGCATATAATGATAAATGTGTCATTCTGGCACACTGTACTGTGCATGGATAGCAAATTATATTTTGGCAAAAGACACTAATTGGATTGTATCACAAATGTACAAAAAAATCACAGAACTACCATTTTGAAATTCATTACATAACATAAAACACTTTCTCCACTTTTCAAAAGAATAACAGAATATTTCAGACACATTCAGTGCATGGAATATACATTTGTATAATGCAATGTTGAAAAAGATTTATTTTTCAATAGCAAGAAATTTTTGCAAATGATTTGTATCGATAAATTTATAATTTGATAAAATAATTTGGCATGATCAACAGATCCCCCCCATTATTGTAAACACAGGTAGAAAATATACATTCAAAAGTAAATTAAGTAATGCATAATGGAACACTTTTCGAAAGAAAACAAGAATTAAATACACTGTACATGGAGTGTATTTCTGCAAATGATTTATTTGGGTAACTCAATAATTGGATAAAATAATTTAGTGATAATCGACACATTCCCCCATTATTATAGACACAGGTAGAAAAGATACATTCAAAAGTAAATGAAGTAATGCATAATGTAACACTTTTTGAAAGAGAACAAGAATTAAATACGAGTACATGGAACTTATACTTTGGTAGTTACGGGGCAATCACCCTTATTACCATATACCCAATATGTGACTGATTAAAACATGGTACATAAAGTTAAAATAATTGTTTATCATACTGACTGCTCTAGATGCTACTGGTCTGGATACTTTAAAGTGGACAAGTTTTTGTAAAACATGGCTGCCCTTCCCCTTACAAATGGAGTACAAGTGTCAAGCTGTCCATTTGTAACAAAACTTAGTTCTGTCACAAAATAAAATTGAAGTCTTATTAAAAGGGGAAATTAGAGTGATTTGGATGGGATCAAGAGTTTAATCTTGGCATGCCATTAAGTCAGTGGACTATTTCGCCCAGTTGGTTGGGGCCCAACCATGACTGAATAGACCTTTTCGTCATGTAATCAAATTTAATGCACAATTTTTTGAGTGCCTAGTTACAAGTTGTTTCATTCACCTGTTACAAATAGTTATATTCTAATATTCAGAATGCAAATTGCATACATGACGTGTTGTTAGGTAGGACAAGCCATAATATACGTTCTGAATTTTGAAATATAATTATTCCTAACAGATGAATGGAACAATTTGCAACGAGGCACTGACAGATTTGTGCATTGAGTTAAGATTACTTTATGAAAAAGGTCTATTCAGTCCACTTTGAAGAATGCCAGGTATATAAAGGCAGTCAAAATGGTACTGCTGCTGCATATTACGACAGGGTTTATCTTGCACATAATACATCAATGGAATTGCCTACAGGGTTGTACAAAACACAAAATGGCTCGTCAAATGGCTGGATTCCATTTGGTCTCTAAAACCCCTACTACATATGATTTTCCAAAGGAAGTTGGTTGAATGTTCTTCAGACAATACAATATTTTGCCAACGATACCATGACCTCAATTGGCAGAACATGGGACCTCTTAGTAGCCAAGAAAAAAAGCAAAATAAGCTACATTGCAGTTGCCGTCTATAAAGGCTTGGGGTACACTCTAGAATTACCTATAATCTATTGATAGGATGTCACTATGGTCATCATTCCACTATTGTAAAACAAGGCCAATCTGTAAAAGAAACAGAACAAGAAAGAGACACATGGAAATAAACATGAAGTTCTATGCAAGTACATTTTATGCGATTTTGTACAAGTAATAATGGTACACATAACGGGTGAAGCTAGTTTTTACCAAGATACTCAGGAATGAAGGTAGCCTATTTAAAGTGCACTAATGTGTGGAATTGCCAATTTGGTGAGTGCACAGATCACATTTTACACATACAACCATTGTACTATGCACATGTTATGTACGCTTTGTGTGTTGTTTTCCTGTTGAGCATCAGCGGAAGGGGGACAAGTACAGAACTAAGAACAAAGAATAAAAACTAAGTTTATCCAAAAGAAAGTATCATTGACGGTGAATGACTCTCCTTCATGCTTGTAATTTTGATGTTGTTGTCGTTTGTTTGAGAAAAGAAATGCTGCAATTTCAAAAGAAGATTTGCAGAGTAAGATTCATTGTTTCTTCGTCAAATGCATATATCATAGGAAAAGCCTTGCAGAATCAAGTGATAATTTGACTTACTTCTTGAGGTTTCATGGTAGGACATATCCAGTTGTATATGTAGTATTGAAGGTTGCCGTCTCCAATGCCAAACTTGAGCTTCTCCAAGAACTCCTTGTTGTCCATCAGATCCAGAGCATTGAATACATCAAAGTCCTCCTACATGATCAACATCACAACAAAAAGAACATATTTAGGAATTAGAAAATTACTAGTACAGTGAAACCTGTCTATAAAGACCACCCTAGGGAGACAAGAAAAGAAAGTGGTCTTTATAGGCAGGTGGTCTTTATGTACAGGTTCCTTTAGTACATGTTTCAATAAGAAACCATATTTTAGGGAAACAAAAAAATTTGGTCTCTGTAGACAGGTGCACCTTCTATACAGGTGGTAGCTAAAGCAGGTTTGAATGTATTTTGACATCAATTATCAAGAGAATTAAACACCTTTATCCTATGATGATTTGATAATAGCCAAATGCTGTGTTAATAAGCCACTTTGGGGACAGCACTTGTACAAAAGAACCCGTTATATGAGTACCGGTATTGGACCATTCAGGTGATGATGCTTTAGATAAAAACATACCTGTTTTGCTAGGGTGAGAGCATCCAGCATGAGCGTCTCCCATGTTGACCTTGTGGTGACATTGTAGAAGGCGTAGGCGGCCTTGAGCTGCTTGTGGACTGGATGGTGCATGATGGAAGAAGGGAGGGTGTAGAAGCTGATCATGTCCGTCAGGACACCGTCCACCTCTGCCACGTACGCGCTGACGATGTTTGGCCTCGGGGTGAACCAATGCTTGAACTCCTCCTACAGTCACCAGGATGAATCAATCAAAGTGGATTATACAGTGGAACCTCATTATTATAAAGAGCTCTTTATAACTTTGCCATTAATGGTAACTTCTATGCAAACCTGGATTTGTTGGCTGTTGATATTGATGGCAAATTTATCATTAGGCCAAAACATGGGTCGGTCGGTCAGAAATCTTAAAAAAAAAAAACACTTTTAAACTTTTTTATAATCCCTATAATTAACAAAAAAAAACTTCATAAAGAGCCGATCGTAAATTTAAAGATTTTTGCGTCGGTCGCGAAGGACAATACAACACCATTTTTGTTTAGGCCTTAATGGTCACAGTATTATGCAACAGGCCCTGATATAACAAGGTATCTGTTTTTATAATCTTTGTTTTTTCTACCCTGATATAACAAGGTAATTTCCAAGGTCCCAAGGACTGAAGTCTGTTCTAAAATAGAAAATTTCTCAACCACAGGCCCTCTCAATGCACTTCACAGTTTTCTATACATACAATCTACAGGATATATTTATCAACGAAGCAAGATTTTAGTACTTTCTTAAAGGTAATACAAAGGTTTGGGAAAATTTTGAAAATTGGGCAGATAATGATTCTTTACAATTTTGATATATTTGGATGCCCCTGTGGATGTATTATAAGCACTCGAAAATTAAGCCCCTAAAACACTTCTGCTTTTGAGAAAAACTGAATATAACAATTTCAAATAGCGCCTATGGTAATACAATGGTAGCTGCGACCATGAAAATCTCAGAATACGTAGATGTGATATATAATTTTCAAACGGGGATAGCTGATCGGTCGATTTTAGTCAAGAAACATTGTTTCATAGCTTTATTAATATATTGACCTTTAGAGAGAGCCATACAACATAAAGAGTTTATTATTTACAATTTCATAAGACTCGATTTCAACCGCAACAACGATCACTGAATATTGTAGGATCGCATATGCTTCCAATATGTTCATTTGAACCAAATTCATGACCCCATACCAAAACTTTGTATTACCTTTAACAACTTTGACACCTAATGTGGAAAATAATGTAATGGGAGAGAGTTCCAGTTTGGACCTCCTCAAACAAGTCATAAAATGAAAATGGATGCAGTGTGCAGACATTTTTGCCTTCTCTACTCGTGTATGTGGTATATTTGTTTAGGCTCCGAATCAAAAGGAATTGAGCCGAACCACAAAATGTGGGATGATTGTCGAAAAAGGTTTAGAGTAAAACTAATTGTTACACGTCATACTTACAAGATCAAAGACTGGTGCCAGTTTGAACTTGTCAAGATAATCTGAGAGGAGTTTGTGACATTTCTCCATGTCCTGTGGCTGGATGGGACGCAGCCCAGGCGTTTTTGTTTCCTACAAAGAAAAGACGATCAAAGGAAACGTGTTAACATGAAAACCAAACATGGACTCTACGGAGACGCAGCCCGGCACTAACGACCTTTGGCAAGACGTGAATCTACATCTGCCACTCCCCAGGTGTTTAACACAAGGTATAAACAATGATTAGACGTGTGCTAGAAATTAAAACTTATTTTTCTATTGAATAAAAATATTTAAAAAATCACTTTGTGGACTGTCATTCTGAATTGAAATGAAAACAATGATTCCACCAAAATCAGAATACTTGGCAGGTATGTATGTACATTCTTCAGGACTATAATAATCCATAGAAAACACTTTGTTAGTAGCAGAATTGCGCAAATGAATGGACCGAATGGATATACATCCACAGGAAAACAAGATTTTGATGATTTGATTTTAATCTTTGATTACAACTATACAACACATATCTCTCTCTAAATCGTCCAAATTGTTAAAAGTTACGAAAGTACAGTAACTTCACTATTTGATAAATGAAGGCAGTTTTGAAATTTGACCCAAATTTGTGTTTGCACTTTTCTGCCAGGACATAATGATATACTTCTCATGTCTTCTCATAAATTATCTGAAGCAAAATATTGGAGTTTATACCATTCATAATACTTCAGGTAAAAGCTTGAGAATGTGAGAGGACATTGTGTAGTACCTACCTCTGGAAGTTTGTAGAGTTTAATCGTCCTCTGTAGCGTCATGTTGCGACCTATATGAGAGAACTTGACCTCTACTAGCTTCTTAGGGTTTAGTGATCTATGCCAGTATCTGAAGAAGGACACAATTGGTTCAAAATGTCAGACAGTATTAACCTGTTGACTACTGAATGCTCTCATACACATAGACTTAATACAGGAGCCCCCCGGTTCCAGTTGGCAATGGGCTAAAGAATAGGCAATACGATATGAAAATGCAGAGATGCCAACTTCTTGAAACACACAAAAAAGACTGAATATCCTAAAAAAAATTGATTTTCACAAAAACCTGACTCTACCACTGGCCCATAAAATGTTTCACGGGTAAGAAAGGTCAAGTAAACTGTTTGCTCTTTCATTAACATTTATTAAGAAAATTGTAAAGCAAAGTTCTTGTCAGGGTTGCAGGGATTCCGTGGTTCTTTAATCTTTTTTTTTTTAAAGATGAAAAATCGTATTTCAAAAGGTGATATCATATTATCGTATTTCACTCTTATTATCATACTAAATACGATAAAATCGTTCTCGTTGGCATCTCTGAAAATGGTCTATCAAAACACTGAACATCTCTGTTGTGATAAACTCCACATGTAAATATAAGTGGTGCAGTGGGGCTTTAAAGAAGAGATAGAATGGCTGTCTATTAAACTGACCTGCACGTTGAGACAGGCTTGGGAAGAACAACGCCAGCTGTGTAGACGGCCTGGAATATACCCTGGAGATGGACCCTCCTCGTGATCTCACGGATGAGTACAGGTGCAACACGCTTTGACCTCAGCTTCTTGTGAACACACAGAAAGTTGATTTCTACCATTCTTACAATTCTTCGCGGAGGAGAAGAAAAAAATATAAAGAAAGGTTACAAGAGGAATATGGATCCGTTATGCCTCTAATCTATGTTCAATTAATCCATGATCCTTTTCCCTTTGACATTTATAGAAATCTATAAGTTTCATTCTCACAGTACATAAATTAAGTGCTCATTACAGCAAAGTTTGGTTAAAATTGTATCAACATTATCTAACAATATATACTATCTTTGTACATGTTTTGCGGGGTAAAAATTAAGTGAATTTCCTAAACGGATAGTAGCCTGCCATTTGCTGAACCTACCCGGGCATTTAATAAACAAAGAATCATGGGTAATGGCAAAAGATACATTGAAACAAGGGAAACGCTCTCGGCGGTCTCGCCTGCATTACGCAATTCGGTATGATGAAAAATTGAGGCTGGAACATTATTTATAGGCAGGGTGGCCCATTAGCAGGCCCCAAAAAATGAAATCCTCTGAATATAATCAGCATTTTGAAGTGAATATTGACTAAGAATCATGAACAAATAACAAATATTAATTAATTAATTTATTTATTCTCATTTTAAGTTGTGAAAACATAATCCAAGTCTACTGACCTAAAATGACCTTTGACCTTGTGACCTGGAATTTGTGTCATATGATTTGTGATACTTGATAACCCTTGGGTACATGTACAAGTTTCATGGAATTTGAACAATCAATTTTGAAAATATGCTAAAAATTCAAAATCTTGATGTTGATGCCACAACAAAGTCTAAGTTTGTTGACCTAAAATGACCTTTGACCTTAACTTAGTGACCTGAAATACTACTCACATTATTGGGGATACTTGATAACCCTATAGTCCAATTTTCATTGACTTAGAACTTATACTTTCAAAATTATATCAAAAATTCCAACACTTAACCTTAGGTTAAGTTTTTGATGTTGACGCCGCCGCCGCCGCCGTCACCGGAAAAGCGGCGCCTATGTCTCGCTTTTTGCTACGCAGGCGAGACAAAAACAAATGAATATACCCTGGCAAACTCTTCATTACACATTGAACGCTTAGCCCAAGATAAACTCGGGCTGGGGTAAAAAATCAAACTACATGCGATGGGTCAACTTACTTGCCATTGACCTTTATCCTTGCCGGTACAGCACTAATGAACCCAACTAGTTTCTTGTTTGCATCAACCCGTACTGTGCAGTGCCATTCCCTTAACCAACCTGGTGGCGTTAAGGCCCTGGAAGAGAAAATATTTAGTACACACCACTATTAAATCAATTACAGTTTGGTGTTAAAAATGTCTTCATCATCCTAGAATACAAAGTAATTAAATATTTATTTCATGGTATTTTCATTGAGAAGCTGTCTTGCAGCCGTAAAGTTAATTTGTACAATTTTTTGTACAGATAAAAATAAAATGCAAACAAGAACACATAACAGGAGCAAAACAAACATGTGACGTAGTTAAAGTGGTAAGCGATTTAACATGGTAAACGCGGTCTATAATGAACATAATTAATATAATGTGGTACTCCATACATGAATGTTTCTTCTCCACATATTTCTGAGAACTCTTCTATTTGGTGTCAATGTTTTTATTAAACCTCTGGAGCACAAAATTAAATGTAGACAAGTGTCAAGGCTGATCAGCTAAATCACAGATAATAATATTCATTGCGGCCTGAGCTTGAAATTCATATAATCACCTAAAACTTAAATTTCCAAAGTGTATTCCTCAAGTTCTAAATAAGGAACAAATGAATGAAGTCTGGTTTATTATTTTTCAATTACACAAAATATATGTTAAAGAAAAAAAAGGAAAAATTGTTTATTTTAACCAGGGAGGTGAAAGAAAGGAGTGGTAACTCTTGTCATTTATTCATACGCGTTCATGAGTTCTAAAGCGTATAACAATGGGATGTGTAACATTCCACTTGGCTTTGAAGTTCCATGCTCCGAACCGGGCTTCCACTGCCGGGGAATTTTGGAGGCCATGCATCAGTTTCACATTTATTACAAAATATCAAATTACCGGCAACATTTCTGTGTAAATTATCAACTTTATATGGGGAATGTGATGGGAATGGTGCATCAAACAATTTTTCCAATTTAAAACTCTGCCCTTCCTATAATTTGTGTGCCAGAGTTCGTAAAAGAAAAATTAGATCCTGACAAAAACTCAATATTTTAGGATAATGCTCTAATTTGTGCGTGTTTTAATGCCCTGTTATTTAATCCATGATATACAATCTTCGATAACTATATAACTATAAGTTTTCTAATGCATGTTTTCGCGTGTTTTTGGAAACATGTTGGAAAAAGGATGAAATTACACAAGTTTGTGTTCGCTTGTTCTATTCATTACACATTTAACAATGATGAGAAATCATTGAAAGGGACAGCGAACAGTTGCTGTGATACCATTTCTGATGTAGGAATTCTAAATCCTGATATTTCATGCGCTCTTTTATCTCACCACCTGGTCAACAGTTGCAGATTAGCGCATAACATTTTGGCGGCTTGGAGCATGGGGTCAAAGGAGAGCGGCTTAATTCCAGTCCTTCTCTATCACGTCCCTGATTTCAACAGTGTAAATCTTTATAACCGGCTATGGAGCTTTAAAAAATAATTTTATTAAGTCAAGGCTGATTAGCTAAATCACAAGGTTATGTATGTTTCTTCATTTTTATTATTAAAAAAAAAAACTATGAAAAAACTTACCACTGAAGAAATTCGGCAGAGTAATCAAAACGGAACATATTGTCATCATCTTCAACATAATTTTCATTCAAGAGGTTGTATAATTCTCTGAGCTGTAATAGTAGATAAAATAAGGGAAATGTTATATCAACTTCATTATATGCACATGTATCAAGGACTGACCTAAAAGACATACCTGTGGAAAATACATGTACTGTTTTGCAAAAAAACAAAAAAACAATTGATGTGCTCAATATACATCCACATACATGGAAATCTAGACATGAAAGGTACTGTCAAATATTACACATAATTCCTCTACAAGTTAACTAATACTAGTAAAGTACATTGTATTGATTCATAAACCTTTTAATTTGGGCAACTCAAATTGACTAAGTTTTTGCAATGGAGAAATGAAAAAGCTCATATTAAATTCTCATTTCTTCATTTCTATTTGGAAGGTAGGATAGAAGCAATTTATCATGAAAAGGATTATTTTTGAAGTGCTCTCCTACAGTATATTCTCAACTTGGACCCGATTTTGATACCACATGTGTGTTTTATCTAACCCTGTAAGTTGGGGCTCTGATCAGATCAGAAGATCGGAGCGACACCCTCGCACCTTTGATCGGTATCGGATCGGAAGATCGACAAAAAAAATCGGCTGATTTTTTTTTTGTGACTATCAAATGCTCAAAAAAAAATCATGGCTGGGATTATTTTGTCATTTAGAGTTGTTGTAGACCATGTTTGTTGATATTTAGTGCCTTTTCATGACTTTGAAATTAATAATGCTGGTCTAAGAGCAGAGGCAAAACATGCGGGCCGCCATCTTGGATTATAATGTAGGTATTTTTTTTTTTTTTAATGACTTTGAAATTAATAATATTGATAATATATTCATGACAAATTTCATGCATACTTTTTAAACAACGGTTGTTCTTGACAACCTGAAAACTTGCCCAAGGATTGCCTGACATAATGTATGCCGACTGGATTCCGAGTATCACAGTTCATTCATTAATAACAGGTTAATGGATACCTCGTCACTAGGTCGCCAGGAAAGAAACATCCATAAATTTGAATCTGAATTCTGAATTTAATTTAATTACTTAGTCTGAATTTTGAATTGAATTTTGGTCCGCGTTTTGTGCAATTTGTGTTATCCATGTTCAAATCAATTGTATTATTCTGTATCGATCTGTATCTTATTGATGTTTATAGTCTGTAATTTTGTAATGACATGCAAACGAAACAAATTTCCAATAATTGGACAATAACAATTGAATTGAATTGAATTGAATTAAAACCATTCTATTAAGTCCTACTTGGGTCATAAGACTAGCGTCATAAACTTACCTCCACTTCACTATGTATATCTAGAGTATCCCATGAGAATCCCTGTGGTAACGAGTAGGGCTCCTTCCTAATATCAGTCTTGTCTGCTTCAACTGCTTTATTTACTTCAACGGAAACGGTCTCCTCTATATTCATAACAGAAAAAGAAATACAAAGTATGCTCTCATCTTTGGCTATGTAAAATCCCATAAAAGAGTTATATGTTAAAGCCTATCTGCACTAGTTTGGCCAGGAAGGATGAGACCTCCCTGCAGGGTCACTGACAGGTGGTCATCTCATCAAATTAGCTCTCAATTACCATAAGAAAAAGGGGACCATGGGGGATCAACGGGTACCGCTTAGGCATTGTTGGCTATTTAGAGGGCGCAAGTAGCTACAGGTAGTGCAGTCCTGCTTTATAAAGACTTTTCAATAAATATCAGGTGGTGAGAAAATTACCAAGGTACACATGTGATAATGAATAAAACTTTGTACATCCAATAAAGAAATGAATACAACTCTTTATGTAAGATGCAAGATGGTAAGATGGTTTGTTCTACCATCCCTTCAAAAACATTAAAAAATGAATGAGTTAATGTATGCTAGTGATATATGATTAATGTTAAATCTAACAGTTCTCAATTTATAATCAGAGGAGTTATTTACCCAAACTTGGAACAGGCTGTGTTTCCCAGAAGTTGTAGGTCTTTTTCTTGGCTTCATCCATATTCTTAGCAGGGCCCTGAGGTACAAACAACTCCATGGCAGCTTTTAACTTTGACATGGATATTTGAGGATTCTGAAAATGATAAAGGAGTATAAAAAGTATCATTACCATCATCAACACCATCACCACCACCACCATTATTATCATCCTCATCCTCATCATCAACATCATCATCATCATCATCATCATCATCATCATCATCATCATAATCCTCATCATCTTCTCCATCATCATCATCATCATCATCATCATCATCATCATCATCATCATCCTCATCATCTTCTCCATCATCACCACCACCATCACCATCATCACCATCATCATTGTCACCATCATCCTTATCACCATCATCATCATCATCATCATCATCATCATCATCATCATCACCATCACCACAACCACCACCACCACCACCACCACCATCATCACCATCATCTTCATAATCGTCATCATCATCACCACCACCACCATCAACACCACCACCACCATCAACACCACCACCACCACCACACCACCATCAATCATCATCACCATCACCATCACCACCACCACCATCATCACCATCATCTTCACCATCATCACCATCATCATCACCATCATCTTCACCATCGTCATCAACATCACCACCACCACCATCAACATCACCACCACACCACCCCCACCACTACCACACCCCCATCAATCATCATCATCATCATCATCATCATTATTATCATCATCACCGTCATCATCACCATCACCATCATTATTTTCATTAACATTATTACTCACTTTTTTATACCCAGGCCTAACCTAGTTTCCCCAAATTCTCATGAGATTGTCTTCCTATGCTGATACATACGTATAAGTACTATTAGGTGGCTCTTTAGACATCGTGATAACGAGGCTAAATCCTGTAATTTCAGAGAAGTGACCTCTGTGACGGTTGATATTCAGGTCATTTGGGACATGTGCTAACCGTGAACTGGTCTATTGGTGGGCAGAGGCATACAAATATAAAAATAGAGATGGAAACAAAAAGAAAAACTTTTGAGCCTACAATAGACTTTAGACCAGATGATTAGAGGAAGGAATTACCTGACTTAGCCGGGCATCAATCTGGTCCACCCCTCCTGAGGCACCCCCTGAAGCCCCATCTCCCTTCTTCTTTTTCTTCTTCTTCTTCTTCTTGTCTTTCCCTCCATCATCTGCTCCGCCTATTGCTCCTTGCTGACTGGTTGAAGGTTGTTCCTCTAAATCATCGGCAGGACTAAGTATAGGGAGAGAGAGAGAGAAAAAAGAAAGAAATTCTGAAATTCATGATGAGAATGAGGTGTTCACTATATCTTTGTGCTAATGTGTTTTAACACTTTCATTATTTCATGAAAATTCAGACTCAGGGTGAAATATGTTAGACCTAATGTAGTAAGGATGTGCACAACAGTGTAATGAGGTACCCGAGTACACAATTGGTGGTTTTATGAGCGCAAATTTCGAAAAAGGGGCACGTCCAGTTGGAAAAAAAGGGCACGGCCTTTTTGGCCGTGAATTTATCTTTTTTGGGGAGGGCACCACGGCCAGTCATAGGGGCATCGACGGCCTGGCCGTCGATGGCCGTCGATTAATTTAAGGCCTGTGTACTATTCTGATTACATTTTTAATTCAAATATCAAACAAAAATGGTGAAAAACGATCGCAAATTGAAAATAGAAAAATCGTTCAGACACCCTAATATGACACCTCATTTATTGAGTTTCACCTTCAGGATCACAAGCCCCAAAGGTTTGAATTTCAATTTTTTTCATAAAATCATTGACCAATTTTCATGGTCGCGCAATGCACGTAGACTGCTTAAGGATGCGTGCAATCTCTATGGGAAGTATTTTAGCACACAACATCGGGTGCGCGATCAGACACCCTACTTGAGTACTTCTATTGAAAGTAGTTAGTTCTGGAGTGGACTGGTACTTTAAAGTAGACGGTGAAGTAGGCCTAGGATTATACTTTTTTAAATTTTCTTACGCGGAATCCATTTTTTGCCTAGCCAGCGGGCAGTTCGGTAACCCGAAACCCGCAGAGCAAGAGCGGCGATGAAAAAAAAACGTCTGCAAATATCGGACCAGCCCCCCTACCGACTGGTTCAGTTCAGCAGCCTTTCCACGCTCTTATTTTAACACTATCACCAACACCAACCAACACTGTAGAGTAAAGGAGCCCGTTTTCGGCCACGTAAGACAAAATCCTATTTTTAGGACTCTTTACTTCCTATTTATTATCATTTCTTGTTCAAATCATGAAGCAAATATTATTATTATTTAAACAAAAAAAGAATCCCAGAAAAAAAATCACGAATTGCCATGACAATATTCATTTCAATTTTCACTGTTTTGGAGCCCGTTATCGGCCGAGCGTTTCAGTTTACGGCCGCATGTACAAAGTCAATAGGAAGCGCTCGCGCGCGCCGTGCGTTTCCGCGCTGATGTACAGCACAAGCGGGCGGAGCAGGTATCCCACGCCGGAGCTCCCTGGTGCTCGCCTGGCCGAAGACAGGCACAGCGGTGATCGGAAGTTGGAATCTGAATTAGACAGAGATATCGTGTGTGCGTCGCGGTGTGCGGCTGCATTGATTTAATTACATGCGATGACATACTTTTGAGCTTGCGACTAGCCCAAAATCGGGCTTTAAATCTGAAAAATACTTGAAATAAAGCTCATTTTATGGTACCCATATTTCTTACAGACACGCGTTAGATACTCGATTTTTCAGATTTGGGTAGCGGAACCAGCGATTACATCGCTAAAATGTGATATTTTAGGATATATTTTCCATTGCAAATGTGGTTCTTCAGTGACACTGGCATGGTATGGTATGTGTGGGATATGTGTTATGCTATTATGCGATGTATTTTAGAGTGATTTTACCTTGCATCCAACCAATCGGCCGAAAACTGGAGCTGGCCGATTACGGGCTCCTTTACTCTACTTGAAATCACTCATTGGCATTGCTCATGAGTCATAGGGACTTCATAGGGATGCGCGTGCGTGCAATCTCTATGGGAAGGATTTTATGACACAAAATTGGGTGCGCGATCAGACACCCTAACCATATCTCCACGCTGAAGCTAAGTTAGGGGTCAAAGTCTGGATACGAAAGTAGATCTACAGACGTTAGCGCCAGCGGCTGCTCTGTCATGATCATCATGACTGTCGCTGGCTGAGCTCAGCTAAGGCTAAGCGCACATGTGCGGTAGGTTACTGGATATGATGCCAATCCCATATTATGTTATCAATATCTGTTTAAAATTAGCACACCCTCAGCTGTTTCCTCTTACCCTATTTTAGTTTGCGCTGTACTGCTCCCTTCAGTAGCGTTCTTTTCTCCATTTGTAGCCGTCTCGTCGCACGTACCTTCATTTTTTGGTGGGTCCATGTTCTCCGCCATGTTTGTTTCAACCAAAACGTGTTTTGTTATTTAGTTCCTTGACAGTTCTATTTCCGAGTATTTTTATTTTAAAATTCTGCAATTAATATTTGATAATATTTTAATAATTTGTATTAATACATACATTACGGAGATTCTATGAAATTATATTATACTTATTTTAAATACACAAGCTTTTACAGTTGCGCATGCGCTGTATTGCATAGAGACGTGAAGCGGTAGCTAGCTAGCTGTCGATATCGTATCCGAAGTTCCAAACAGAAAATAAAGATAAAATTGTTGAGTCGTCTTTGTATATATCTCACCATGATGAAAGGACGTAATAAGAATGCTGGACATCGTCTTAAAGACTGCCATTGTAAGTATTCATCATTAGTAGTTAGATCTTAATTTTCACTGATTCTCATCGATCCTTTTTTTAAATTTTACTCCGTGTCTTCCCCACACATAGATCTAGGCCCCTGGCCTAGGTGCATTACAATCCTGGCTGTGTGTTAAAAGCTGTGCTTTTGATTCTCAACATTTCAAACACCACTGTACAAAACTCAATTAATTTTACTCAAAATCGGTACTTTAGTGACGATTGATGACACCTAAATAGCAGTAAAAAACAATTTTTTTAACTTTCCGATGTTAGAAAGAATAATTAAAAAATTCAAATTGTGAGTCCTCTGTAAAACTTGCCGATCAGCCGTATCGGCATGATTGTGTGCATCTATGTGTTACGAGTGTATTGACTATTCATGTATTTAAATGCTGCCTATTAACACGTAGTGCAGTGCTAAAGGTCAATACGCATTAGTATTGACTCTCTATGCTTTGCTGGAGTGGTCTTCCCATGCATTCCTATTCCTATTCCTATTCCTACTCCTGCAAATATCATAACATAATACAGTACTAGGCCCCCTTATGTTCCTGTGCTACGGAAATGACATACCAGAAACTGTGAAGTCACAAGTTAGACTGTTCGCAGATGACTGCCTCCTCTACCGCCAAATCGAGAAGCAACAAGACCATCACATCCTACAAGATGACCTTACAGCCCTAGATGCCTGGGCAAAGAAGTGGGGCATGTGTTTTAACACAAAGAAGTGCTACACCATGAGCATCTGCAACAAGTCTTCCTTCTTCTACCAACTTAGTGGCCACATCCTGAAATATGTCCAAGACATCCGTTACCATGGGAGTCACAATCTCAGAGGATTTGAAGTGGGAGAAACATGTTGCAAAGACCACCCAAAAGGCAAACTGGGTCCTATCCCTCCTTCGCAGAAACCTCCACTTCTTTCCTGCAGACATTAAGCGAACAGCCTACACTGCACTTGTAAGATCTCTCCTTGAATATGGGGCTACTTCCTGTGATCCATATCTGCAGAAGGACATCAACAGACTTGAAAACGTCCAAAGACGAGCAGTTCGCTTTGTCACAGGGAATTATGTGACCAGAGACGAGGGCTTCATTACCAACAAGCTTGTCGAGCTCCATCTCCCTAGCCTAAAGGAAAGAAGGAGAAACCTCAAACTCACCCTCTTCTTCAAAGTGGTCGGGGGGCTGGTGCCAGCTCTCCCAATTCAAAACTTTGCTCAACCAACCAAATCAAAACGACGTATCCGTGCAAGACAATTTGAAAACTGTAATACCTCAAATATCATAGACAGACAAGTGACAAACAACAGCAAGTGCTACAACCCCATCAGAGCACAAACTGAAAACTACAGGAGCTCATTCTTCCCATCTACCATCATTGAATGGAACCATTTGGATGAAAACACCATAAACTCCACATCAACCAGCACATTCAGGAAGGCCATTGACAGAGCCTTCTAAATACCCCCGCGCCCTCTCTCTCAACCGATGCGCTTATGCCCAGTAGGGCCCTGCATCGTACACATCCAGATCCAGAATAGAAGTCTAATGCATGAAACTTAAAAGCATTGATTCTTCTTTAGAAAGATTCCATTCTGAAAGAGCATGAAAAATACATCTAAAATAAAACCAAGATCATCACCCTAACATAACAAGTTAGGCCTAGGTCAACAAATAGATCTAGAGTAGTGGCTCCGGTCTGCGGCCGATCGGCGAAGACTGCCGATTCTATTTTTATTGGAATACTCACAGAATACTTCAATACCCTCAATAAAGAGTCCATATACTTACTTATTAAATAGAAGTCACAAATAACCTAACTGACCCACAGCGTGGTCAGCATTGACCACGTTTCGAAATGGTTCGAGTTCCCCGATTTGCGGGCACGCATTACCGGTTTGCGGCACGCGTACGTCACAAAGCTTTATGCGCTACGTCACGATGAAAGCATGTACCAAATTACTACGGGTAACCCAAATTCTCATGTTTATCTGTTGCTACGGTAAATTTGTCAAGTTTTAAACAATTTCACCTTTTCCTCGAATGGATCATCCCATACGGGGGTACGTACTACTAGAAACTATCGGGTCATAGCGGGTACACACATCAGCACACATACCATCATACACGATCCCGCATGTTATGTGTATTAACACCCCCCGCCGCAAACCAGAAAAACACGTAATTACGTGCCGGTTTGCGGCCACCCCATGCAACTGGCCATGCGGTGGCACAATCAAAATATCTGCGATAGGAGACAGACCACAGCCATCATACTTCCACAAAAACATCAAATTTCACCTCCAATCGGACAAATATCGGACAAATAGAGCTACAATATTGATCTAGTCATGCCTCGATCTCTTAACTTAAAAGTTAGCACCTGCTGGAATTTTCATCGGCGACTGGTGCCGTAGATTTCCGACATCGCTGACGGATACTCTGTACCGACAGGAGCACCTGCTACGGACGTTTTCGGCAAAGCAGAACTTACTGTGGAATCCACGGTAGGTTTCAATGATTATTATCGAGTCATATTCATTTTATTTTTAAAACAAATACCCCTGGCTGCAAACCGGGCGATGCCGCAAACCGGAGACTCTACTCTAGGTCTAGCGAAATAACGATATCGATAGTTGAATGACAAAATGCTTAAAATTAAAAAAATTAAATAAAACACCCATTTTCGGTCCCTCTCTTAACCACCAGGCGTGTAGCCAGGGAAGGGGAGGGGGGGGGGGGGGAATGCCGGCCAAAAAAAAAAAAGAGAGGAGAGAGGCGGGAATAGAGTAAAAGTAAGTTGGCACACATTGTGTAAGTTTCGGAGCAAAAAAACATTGTTTCAGAGCTCAAATCACCTAGGTAAATAAATAATTTCCCACAGAGATTACACGTAAACGGAAAATGGAATTCTCAAATCCCACTTTGTAAGTGAAATATGAGCTTGATCCTGGCATCTGATCGAAAAATAAAGGACACACTTGTGATAGATTATTCTCTCAGCTACAACATACTCAAAGCTCAGCGCAAACAAAGATAAAACGACAGAGATATTGCTCGCGAAAGACGAGAATGTAGAATCCAGTTTTGAGAAAAAGTCATGTCCCATAGAGAATACACGCAAAATGTGAAAAATTGACATGCCTCCTTTAATCGCAAAAATACACCGTGATGCCATTGTCAAGATGAAATATTGTGGTGACTGCATTTGTAGAGAATATTCTCAGGTAGAACATATCAAAATTTGAAAGAAAATTGATCAATATTTACAGAGATACAATCAATTTTCCAAAAATCTGCTGATGTCATAATATGCAAATTGAAATTTTGTGTTCGGAGGCCATTATGATGACGTCATGAGTTAATTGAGGGTCAAATGAGACTAGAAATCATTTCTCCGACTCATAATCCATCCAAATATGAAAAAAAATGGGGGGTATCCATCCATTCTGAAGAGTTACAATGAATTTTGTATAGGCATGTTTTTGCACATGTGTATTACAAGAGCTCGCACGCACGGATGCGTATCTTAACGGACCCTCATTCTGGTATTGGTCAGAAAAAGGTGAACAAGGTATCACAATGCTTGAAAAAATGTGCCAAATATGATGACAGAGAAAATTTGGCGATTCTACGTTGCAAAATGCAAGTACGCGCGAAAACGCGCACGCATGTGCGTGTTCGCGTTTTTTTGCAAAATGCTTACAATGGCCTGAAACGTATGCAAGATTAATTTGGGACGAATCAGAGAATTATAAAAATTTTATGCGCGCGTATGTGCGCGCACGGAATTTGTTGACATTTTTAGTTGACCTTTGACCTGAAGTTGATGTATACCAAATATGGTTGATTTTTGATGACTCGTTATCCAGATATGATAATGACCTGATTTTTACAAAACGGCGCCTGGATGACGTCACGATGACCTAATGATCTTGAAAAAGTTGATAGACTTGAAATTATAGGGCCTGATGACTGACAGAAATTCGAAGGAAATTGAATTTGTCGATTTCGAGTGAACGTGTGCACAAAAAAGTGTACGGAAGAAATAAAAATAAATAAAGAAAGAATAAATAAATAAAGAAAGAAAATTCTAACGAAATCAATAGGTGATCTGTCGTTGACAGACCACCTAATTAAAGCCTGGATACAATTGCTAGATCAGCCTTGATTGATCTATTCTGTCTGTATTGATACTCTTCTGTAGACTTAATTCAGCACCATGGTTTCTTTACTTATTTTCTACTCAATTTTCACACTTTCTTGTTTATTTCAGTCAGCAAAGAGGAGCAGGAGTCCCTTGTTAAAATGTTCAAAGAGCTCACCAAAGATAACACTGGCTCTATCAGAGAAGACAAACTAGATAGATCACAGTTCAGGGAAGTGCTTCATTCAATTTTCAAGATGACAGATGATGTCATAATGGACAGAGGTGAGGTATACTGTACTCCCAGTGAATGCTTGTCCCTGTTCTTTGTAGGATTTAATATTAATTATTGTACAAATATAATATGCATTTTGCATGTAATTGAATTAAATGACAAATTCTGAAATTCTTATCCACTACTGTACATGTGTAGGCATTTCATAATTAAAAAATTATAACTGATTTGATTATCTCAATGCTGGTTTCTTCCTTTCGATAATAGGTTACTCTACAAGTAGTGGAAAATATCCTTATGACCTTAGCTATGTGACCACGTTTTAATCACACGTGTCCTTGATTTAAAAAAAGTATTTAAAAATTTGATTGAAATTTAAAAAAAATTGTGATTTGAATTTTTGAAGAAAAAAAAAAAAAAATAATAATTGTGATTTTCTTCCAACCCTGGTCATTACTGAATACGGCTATTTCTTTGTTGTTTCCTGTGTTGTGCTTAATCAGCCTAAATCTCTTGAACTTGTAATGTCATTCATCTTGTATTTATACTTTTTTTGACAGTCCTGAGAGCATTCGTTAAGGACCACGAGGCCTGCATTAACCTGTACGAATGGTTGACAGGTCTATCTGTCTTTCTGAAAGGCAGTCTTGAAGAGAAAATTCAATGTGAGTATACTAGTTAAGGCTTTATCAAAAGTGAAACTTCCGAGCAATTCAACTTGGGCAGTATCGGTTCTACAACATATGCTCTAATAACAATTGCTAAACGGTCACTTGATTTGATTTGATTTGATTTATTTATTTCTGTTTGATTTTCTTTTTCTTTTGCAGTTTTACAAATATGATTAACAAACAAAACATTGCAAGTTTTACACAATCATGACAAAAGAATATATGTAAAATAGAGTAAGACTTGCTGTAACTAATCAAAAACATCAAACAAGACTTACTTAAACCCTGGACCAAACATGATATACCTTATTAGTCTAAACCTAACCCTTAGTGTATATCTTTGAAACAAATAATTTTGGAGTAAATGCACTGCTGGAGCATGTTTTCGCTATGTACTTTCAAGTGGCTTTACCATGTAGATAATGACTTGTACACATGAAGCTATGGGTAACCCCTTCATTTCATGGAAATAACCATAATCAAGTAAGATACATGTGTATGTGTTTCAAAATGTTGAAAAATACCCATGAAAATATAGTAGTTACCCTACTTGCCTGTCTTTGGCAAATGAAAAAGTTGACAGGGATGTGTAAAGCTTTCACAAACTTGAGTCACCACCCTTTCCGAGCCTTTTCCTCCTTTTCCTCGACCTGACATGATGATGATTGATTTTTTTAATCATTGCTTTGATGAAGTTTGCTTCAAGGTGTATGATCTGAACAGTGATGGCTTCATTTCAAGAGAGGAAATGTTTCATCTTCTGAAGACATCAATGGTGAAGCAACCCACCGAGGAAGACCCAGAGGAAGGTATCAAGGACTTGGTAGAGATCATCATCAAGAAAATGGTAGGTTTAAATTTATCCCTACTAAGACTTGCCACTTCAAAACAGTATCATAAGTACAATTTTTATCAAAAAAGAATTGAAAATAAGACAAAATTATTAAATTTGGATTTGAAGAAAAACAATTTCAAAAAAGAATTTCAACTCCCAAATAGTACTCTCAAGTAGTACTTTTACTCCCAAATAGTACTTTTTCAGTGCGACCTTAAAATAGTTGAAATATTCTGGTCATGTGACGAGCTTTCAACCAATCAAAAACTAATACATTTTTGATGCAGGATATAATAAGCAAATAATTACCGTTGGTGAAGGTGATGGGAAAACTATCACTTCCGAGGCGATCTGGATGTAGCTATCTTTCCGAAGCGAAGCTGAGGAAAGATAGCGTATACGTTCAGATCGCCGAGGAAGTGATAGTTTGCCATTGCCTGAAACCAAATGGTCACTTCTTCCCTTATTTTAGAGCAACAAGTCATCAATTAACAGCTAGCAAAAGGTGTACGAAACGTACAGTGTATATGTAGCACGGTGGTGTGGCCATAGTTCGCGCGTGACCAAATTTCGCGTACTAACATTAAAAGCGCTTAAAGAGGAGAGCAGTATGTAATGTATACAATTAAAGTGCGTTGCACTGTGTAGATAGTACTTCTATCTTCAGTGAAAGTGCATTGCACTGTGAAGATGGTACTACTATCTACACAGTGCAACAAACTTTTCTTCTCCCATCAATGATAGGTGAACTATCTTTCTTCACGTGATTTACTTTTGACCAATCGTAGCGCAAGATTCTTAGTATGTGGAATATAATAACTATTATAGGTACTATATAGTTTTCTTACACCAGATGAAAAATGATTATATATAATTATCTTGCTGGTATGTTTCCTCTGTCTGTAGGATCTTGACCATGATGGAAAGCTGTCCTTCAAGGATTTCTCTGACTCTGTCAATGTTGAGCCGCTACTGTTAGAGTGTTTCGGGACATGCTTACCGGAGCAGAAGGTGAGTTCTGAGTTTTAAAAAAAAATAGTATCACTTTGACCAATCAGAATATTATTAGTAGAGACAGAACACCTTGTAGATAATAGATGTATACATACATTCCCCTCCTATTTATTTTCAGTTCCAGTTGATGTACCATGCAAGAATACAGTAGATGAATTAACCATCTCCAAGACATTCCCCTCTTTCTCTCTATATATAGATAATTTGTGGTGTATTAATTAACTTGTACTTAAAACTTTGATGTACCTTTCAAACACTTTCTACATTTAGAAGTACATTTAGTCTGTGATATTGCATGATCTGTACTGATTTTGAATGCACAGTAATCAATATCTGACCATACTAGAAATGGCTGGGTTTGCACAGATCTAATTATTTTGTCAACATGATTGAAGCATTTTAAATTCCATTGACAAAGAAATTTATGTTTTCTGTAGGTTTCCATGATGAGTGAGCATTCACGTTTGAAGGGCTTGCTTTCAGTAGCACCATGTGGTAGCCTTAGAAAAGGCTATTATTTTGTCGAAAGAACACACTCATATGGCATTTAGAGGAATTATGATTGAAATAAAGGGAAGGGAAGGGAAAGAAAAAGAAAGAGGAATGAAGTTGAAAGTAAAAACTTTTTGTACACAAGGCTAACTTTGTTCTTGATTTTAGTGTTTATAAACCAAAATTGAGGTTAAGTGGAGAGACTTAATGGAAAGGGAAAGGAGTGATCAAGATTGAGCAGGTTTTGAGCAGATCACAGCAGTTGAGGGCCGGTAGTTCTTAAAAGAAGTGTTGGTATTCCTGTGTAAAGTAGTTCTTCTGATAGGGATTTTCCAAACTTGAGTATTTTTACTTGAAAAGGAGTCTCCTGACGTTGCACAAGGTACACTATTCCAAACGTGTCGAGACAAATTACTCCTTTTCATGAAAGGATACTTTCATTTTTAATTCTCTTTCCAAACTTGTCCATAGAGGAATACCAACAGTTCTTTTCAGAACTGCACTTTTCAACTTCTGTGATCTTCTCACAACCTCAAATGCAATTACCCCTCCTTTCCTTTTCCTTTTCCTCTTTATAGTCCTTCTTGGTGTATAGACTTGGAAACCAAGAACCAAAAGTAATGTTGTGTTGAGAGTTCGATTTAAAATAACTTCATACTATTATCACCTCTTTCCTTTTCATTCCCTTTTATTAAATGTATTCCTTAATTCATATAGACAAACCATAAGTGGCTAATTTTTAAGCAAGAGTTCAGCAGCAGCCATTTCAGTAAGGCCACCACATGGTTTTACTGAAAGCCTTCAATCATGAATTTCAGAAAAATATTCATCAATCATCAAAATTATAAAAATTAAAAAAGAAAAAATCATAACTGTTGATCAGAAATAGAGCCATCTTTAGTTGTAATGTATACATTTGCACATTATTCTGATTTTTTGTGGCATGTTGCAAAAATTTCCACTGCTTAAGAATTGCCTATGGCAATGAAATCCATGAGAATATGATGTTTCATTTCGAAATAATTGATTCTAACAAAATTGCCTCTTTTTCACCTTTGTCTTACCCTGCTCCCTTGAATCTTAATCTCGATCTACATGTTAAATATGCATACTAGACTTGTAACCATTTCTTGGGGGAATGCAAGAGACGGATGATGGAGGATCTTCTATTCCCAGAGTCAGTAAAATGAGTTTCGTTTCTTGCTATCATCATGCTTACACCTTTTTTTTTCTTCATAAAGCTTGTCACATTCATGTATCCTTGTCAATTGTTCATGTCTTAGGCCAATTAAAAAAACATGTTTAGCATCCTGCTTTTTTGAAGAATAGGAAGGAGGAGGCCCTTTTTTTTTCTTTTTCAAAATGGCCGCTCAGTACATTTTCCCTGACAGTCGGGCTATTTTTCAAGATGGCCGTCGATTTTTTTAGCAGTGTTTTTCATGTTTAAAAAAAAAAAAAAAAAAAAAAAGAGGAGGCGGCCCCCCCAAAAGGAAGCGGATGGAGACACTAAACATGTTTTTTTTAATGGCCTTAACCGTGCTTTGGGTAGTTTTGGTGGAAGGTTTGTCTTGGCTTTGCGTGCTGGTTGGTTGACCATTTTAGATTAAAGGGAAATCCAACCTAGATAAAACTACTCTGGAAGAGAGCAGACAAATCAGCGAAGTAGACTGGTTAAAATGTTTGAATGATATTGGATTAAAATGAAAAAGTTTTGAATTTTGAAAGTTAATTGTAATCACTATAGGTATGGGCTCATCAAATTGACTGAATCAGTTATGTCTCTGTGAAGTAGTGGCGGACAACTTTTGCATACATGTATGTTCCTACCCACAAAATGGGCTCAGAAGGGTCTTTACTCTTTAGAGGACCTATAATAATGTGCTATCTATAATATGTTTTGAGTAGTTTTGCCCTAATAAAGAAGGCAGAAAAAAAACTATATTTTTTAACTCTACTAATGGGAAGGTTGTCCTTGTCCATGTTGCAATCCACGAACTTATTTGCCAATAATGATCTCACATTTCAACCATTCATATTTCTCTTATTATTGGTCTGATTTATTTCAAACTTTCACCAACATTTTATTTATTTTTTTTATTTTTTATTTCATACAAATGAACTCATTACAAGGGTTGGATTGCCCTTGATAGGCATTTTTGTAATTTTGCTCATATACTCTAAAATGGTATTTCCTGAATTCATGAGTGCTGTATTCAAATGTGTGCCTATATTCCTCCATTGATAGAGGTCAAGATATTCACGATTAGAAAGAGAAGTAAAAAAGCTCATCCTTACTCCTTATACACGATTTGGCTTTTGTGGAGACAGCACAGTATGCTCCATTGAGCACTAGTATAATGTATGTACTCCATTTGCATTGCTCACTGTGAGTTCATATGGAGCCGAAGTAGCTCCTCAATGGACTATGTATAGCAATCATTGATCAAATGTAAGCCTGTGATTTTCTCTTTTGCTTGCAAAATAGTTTTGTGCTCTTTGAAACTCTCAAATCTGCCCATTAATCATTGAAGAATAGAATACGGTATACATAATTTATACCAAAAAAATGTAGTTAATTATTTTAAATACGCTTCTTAGGTATTATATAATCTCTATACTCGCAACATACCACCCAGTTATACATTGGAAGCAGATAAAGTTTGTAATCGATCTTGAAACTTAAAAGTCATCAACAAAACATTATATTATCAGATTGTGGATGGATAAATTCTCCCCATAGCTGATATTCCAGGTTTTGCTCCGATGGTATCCCACATTAAAGACTTCCTGATTCTTGTGATATCCATATAGTGCTGGATTAAATTTTAAAAAAGGTGTTGGTTGAACCTAGCCATCATTGCAAATTCCTCAAAAATTGCAATTCATTTATTCAACAAAAACAAACCCTGTTTTTTTTTTTGGGGGGGGGGGGGGGAGGGGGGTTTGCAGCTTCATATTTAAACGGGCCTAATTAATACATTATTTTCCTCTCTAATGTATCAGTATCACTGCATAGTGGTTGCATCATTTAATGAACATATTCATTCCGGTAACTACATGTAGTAACCACATCACAGGCTCATTCATTCATGAGTACACACATATTTTATTCACATGTGCAACTTACAATGCTCCTATATCTCATGTTTTGTTTGCCATTCACCCAAGGCACTTTGCACTACAGTGTATAAATGAAATTCCAATCTTTGAAAGCAAGTTGAAGTAAAATAAAACCGAGCAATATATGTTAGAGAAACAGAAATTTTTGTTTTAGTTCTTTAGATCACTCAAGATGGGAATTTCAAATTAACAAATTTGCATGAATGGTGCATTCTTTTCCTGTTCAGCTAGTGACTACATTGTGCATACCTTTCCAAAAATACCCATGGAAATCTTTCAGTGTTTATAGAGAATTACATTGAGTACCGGACTGTCGATAACAAGGTCCGCGGTTCAAGTCCCACCGCAGCATTTATGTCCTTTGGCAAGACATTGATCTACATTTGCCACTCTCCATCCAGGTGAAGTAAATAGGGACGTGGCAGGAATTTATTCCTTGAAACGCAGAGCGCGTAACAGCTGCACTGCTTGAGCCAGGGTCATTATTGTAGAGTGCTTAGAGATTTCTAATAAAGTAAGTGTTAGGCGCTATATAAGCAAATATAATTATAATTATTATCACATTTAGCAATTTAAAAACATGCATCAATGCATAGAAGGGATAACTTTCTAAAGGTCTACCGGCAATTATCTGATCTTTTTTACACAGCAGGTCAAGCTTTAGTTAGAACAACATATCAAATAGCATGAGAAATAAAATAAAATTATTTTATGACTCTTGTAAATATAGTTGCATTAAATATGAGTAGAATCTCAAATATACATATTTGTTCCTTGTGCATGTACCGCCATTGCCCAGCAATTAATGTAGCCTGGATGTATATAGGCTTCAATATCCTAGTTGTTTAATTTTATATGTATATGTCTCATTTTCAGATTATTAGCATGAAAGAACATATATAGTACTGGTAAACTACAGTGTTTTGAAATACCTCTAAAACTCTCTTTCAAGGGCATTTGGGTTTTACATATACCTGAAGAAAATTGTACCAATTAGATAAATTTGGTGCTTATTATGCTGTTTTGTATGGATTCAGCCTGACATCAATAACTCTATTACTGTGCTTGCCATGCATTAATTAGTTGTAGTTGCTTAAGATTTTTGTTTAATTACCGGTAGAATAAAAAATATGAGCAACTAAATAAGAATACATATACCGATATTCTACCAATGAAAGATTTAACTCCAGATTATTTTGAGAAAAGGCTGGTATGTCAGATTTAACCCACCTCACCAGTTTTTATTCCCATTTAGTGTTTTTGAAGAAAGAAAAGAAAAAAATTATTCTTTCAGCTAACAATATATGATGATAAAAGTCACTACTTACCAGTGTAACTCATCATTGTCTAATTGCCATTAAAGGAAAATGAAACCCAAAAAACTTGAGCTCGATAGCCTTATTGAAAAGTGTGAGCCGCCCAGTTAAAAATATCTTGAAATTACTTCTATTTGATTTAGCGAGAAAAGCCATCTCTTCAAATTTAGCTGTTTCCTTGCCTGTTGAACGTTCTTTCATGGGAGTTGCCAGTTTGATAAATTGCTAAATAATCAAGCAGGAGTAATCTCAAGATATATTCAACCGGCTCACAATTTTCAATAAGGCTATCGAGCTAGAGTTTGTTGGGTTCCATTTTCATTCCATTTCAAGCCTAAAAATGTAGCTTCACCGCAGGTCAAGTCATGTTTTCAAGTAATGTTGCTTAAATCCACGCATGTGGACTGTTTTTATTTGAATCTAACTTTTAAATGTTTATTTGTGCGATTTATTTGAGTTTTGGGTTGGTGAAGGGACCGCATAAAGTGTGGCATTTTGGTATGGCTTGCATGTGTTTATTCTTTTATATTCTTTGTAATGGGATTTTGTGTTCTATATGGTGGATTGTTGTTTGTTTCTTCATTACTAAAAATGAAAGCCTAATCATAGTCTTCATTTTAAATTGAAAAAAAAAAGGAAATGGTTTGCTGATTGTATATATACATCAATTTTGATTAATAATTTACGTGTATGTGTAAGCATTAAACGATTGAATGAAACTTATTTAGATTTGTGAGGTCAGTTGTTTGGTCACGATATGTGGAGGCATATTATATTGTTTTTCATTATTGTATTCAAGTGTCCGCCTACATGTGTTTTGAATATTGAAATGTTGATGAAAGTGCATTAAGAGCAATGCATGAAAAAACATGCATACATGTGTAGGTCTGGGATGCCACAGGTATATTATGATCTTCATAATGTTGAGAATATTGCCCTTAAAATGTAACTCAAGTCTATATTAATTCATAATTTTGCATTTGAATGAAGTTGAAAACGTAAACCTTTCCTCAACAAATCAGATCACCAATTATGATAATGATGATGATGATGATGATGATGATGATGATGATGTAGAAGATGAGTGCATATTAACTGTCGGACTCGTCCATTGATGTACGGTTTAATAGAATATATGCACCTCACATTTTCTTTCCTTGGTATTAAAGGCCTGTGTTACCACGTAAGGGCCATCGAAACACAAAGGGTGGATGCTCTTCTGATGACGAATCTGACAGTGAGGATGACATCATGCGAATTCGGGAAATCCTTGCTGTACTGCTAGGATGCAGAAAGAAATACAACATCCACTCCCAAGGGAGCGCAATGTCTGGTGGGAAAAACAATCTTGTTCTTCTTTTTGCTGGCATTCTAACTGGCTTGTGAACAGCTTAATTATTGGACTGTTTATGCTTCCTGGAAACCTTGCAATTGATTTTGGTTATCTTTTTGCTGGCATTTAACTGTATGATAAATCTGAGTGACTTTTTGGCCTGGCATCCTGGAAACCTTGCAATTAATTGATTTTCTGCAAATTGTTATCTTTTTGCTGGCATATTAACTGTATGATAAATCTGAATGGTTTATTAGACTAGCTGTTTATGCATCCTGGGAACCTTGCAATTAATTTATTTTCTGCAAATTGTTATCTTTTTGCTGGCATATTAACTGTATAAATCTGAATGACTTATTGGACTGTTTATGCATTCTGGAAACCTTGCAATTGATTATCTGCAATTGGTTCTCTTTTTGCTGGCATATTAACTGTATTGTATATCTGAATGGCTTAATTGTTAGACTAGCTGTTTATGCAACCTGGAAACCTCGCAATTGATTATCTGCAATTGGTTATCTTTTTGCTGGCATATTAAATGTATAAATATGAATAGCTTTTTGGCCTGTTTATGCATCCTGGAAACCTTGCAATTGATTATCTGCTGCTTCTATAATATTTTGTTTGGAGAAATCCGTACTTGTTAATTGCCTTAATACCTTTTGCTTGTGATGGCCCCTTAAAATTTTAAAAATTCATTATTTTCCTTTTCCATGATTCAGTGGTCATCTTTAAGAGGTTTCGGGGACTTGTCTTAATTTACAATGTCTCTGCATTAATACCTATATTTATGAGCTGTATATCATGGGTGCTTTTATTTTTATTTATTTTAACTATCCAAAAAATCGCATTAACTTGATTGTATTCCACTCCATTTCTTTTCTTTTGTTCATTTTTATTTGCCGAATTAATATGCAGCCAACCCTGACAAAAGAATAACTGCAAACCTCGCTCAAATAATATGCAAGCGTAGGCTGTCAAGCTAATGTACTTTTCATCTGACAGACTCTTGGAATATATCTAGGTTCTAATTTATGACAAGAAATATTTGAATGCTAGTGCATGACATTCACTATGTATCATGCTACATAGGTGACAAAAAAGAACAATTTACCCCCATATTTTTCTCTCAAATATATCCATCAGTCCAGCATGCTAGACAAAAATTAGCCACCAATATTTTGTATGGTGTCTTCAAGTAGGCTGTATTGGAGAAAATAAAAAAATTGGCTCGATCTGTCGGGATTATTTTGCTGATTTCAGGCTTTCATATACTCAAGTAAAGATATAAAGGGAAAGTCTACCCTGATAAGTTGGCAGGTATTAATAAAAAGCAAAGAGAAAAAATAATCTTATTATGAACCATTCATTTATCCCAAGAAACTCTGGGTAACCCCTATGTGTCAAGACCACAAGAGGATGGCATCCTCAGATTTTCAAAAGGAACCATTTTTATTTTTATTTTTTAAATGACTGTGCATGAATTGTTGCATTCCTTGCTTTTGTTGCAATGCTGCTGCTGCTGCAATGTGCTGATGCATGTGTCATGATTATCAATTATGCTGGATAATCATTTGTTGTTCACAAAATGCCAAGGAATAAATTGTAAAATATGTGTATAATGTTCCTTATGGCAAACTATGAAACTAATACTGGTATCAAGTTTGCCTATAGACATTTTTTTGTTTGTCGTTTTTGTTTCTTCAAAGTGTGTGGTTGTGTTTTAATTTTGATTCATTTCTAATCATGATTTTGCCATACACAGGTAGAGTGAGTGAACATGACCATGTGCTTTCTGTCTTCTTGTTGTGAATGGAAAACAAAATATAGTCTGATAATGGATCAAACGATAGTAAATATGATAACAGAAACAACTTCTTTCAGATTAACCCATCAGTACTGACGATTAACTGAATCTTTCATTCTTCTTATCCTCCTTTCTCAACCTGCAGGTAATTGACTCGTTCATGGTAATGTTTGCGGTACCAACACCCTAGCCGGATCCATCCAATCCAAGATCATCATATTCATCCCTTAATAAAATAGTTCCATACATGGGCACTATCTTAAAGAAATATATTTGTTATATGTACTGAGTGTGGGTTGAAAGAAAGGATAAGTGCACTTCTAATCATATACATTTCATGAGAAATAATATTTATTTATTGGACATGTGGAGAGCAGTTTTGTAACTCACATTGCTACCCAGTAAAAATAAAACTAGAAATAAATAAATAAATAATTGAATAAGTAAATATAAAAGCACTAATTGTAAACATTAGAACCGTGGTATTCATTAAGGATACCAATGGATGTTATAATGGTCAGAAAAATATAATTTTTAATATATGATGTGAATTTTTCTTAGAGCTACAAGTATTTTGGTAATTTTTCCAATAACCTACCACAATTACCCAAAATACTATCCAACAAGATGGTCCAATTTTCATGGAATTTTTACATTCCTGATCACCTCAAGTATATATATATATATATATTTATATATACATATAAGCTGTCTGATATTTCTTTTGGAGGTACTTGTTGTTCACAAAGTCTTAATGTAAGGTTCATTTACACTACATTAAACTTTGGAGATTAGCCTTTACTTTCTTTAAAATGAGGTACAAAACGATCTTGTCAATTCATTTGTTCTTCCCTTCCTAGCTCTTTCAATTTTTACCAACACTGTTGTCAGAGGTTGGTATAATGTCAACTATTGTGGTACACCTATGGCTTTATAGTTTCAGAAAAATCCGACTTTACATGCCTGTATATGGCACACATCATTAATTACCGGTATATGGAGGTTTATGCTTGTAAATATAAACTGTACAAAATTTACAACGTCCAGTGCGTATCAAAAACACATATATAACCAGCTTTGATAGCTTATGATTAACAAGTCATAATCAATGTGACCTTGCATTATTTCATGGTAAAGAGGAACTTGTTTTCTTTTTAATGATACAAGTCGTCACCTGGCTGGCAGAAGGGCGTTAGCTCGAATTTCAGGTAAAAAATGAAGCGCTAAGCAATAGGGCGTAAGCACTAAATTGCCTCAAACTTTTATAAAACTGACTCATTTCCGGAAAAAATTTGTGGCCATGTTCTGTTATAACATTTCATAACATTTCTATTAGTCTTTGGAGTTTTAAAACCATTTTCGGGACAGAAATCAGTTTAAATATAAAACAAATCTTTAAATGCAAATAATTCGAAAAGTAGTTTTCGAGTCGCTTGCGGGCTAACGCCCTTCTGCCAGCCGGCCGATAAAGTGTTATCAAAATATCTTGTACTAAGTTTTGGTAGATGCCCAGAATGTGTATCAGACCATCTTAATGTGTTACTTTTAAAGTTTTATTCTGCTTTATGCTTCATTGTTAAAGTGATCCAATGTATCTAAGCTTTCAAAGGACCTAGGTTCAATCCAAAGGATAACCTCAAATTAATTTTAACAGCCTACTAATTTCTTGTCTCGATATCTGACATTTCTCTGCTAAATGTCCATTGCACCATTTTACATGCATAAGGTGTGTAAAGTGCATGAGGTTTTTGTCTCGAATAGCACATGAAAGTTGAGAGGTTTACTAACCTCACATATTCAGTAAATGCAAGAAAGAAGACATGTTCATATCTACCAAAGATAGTGACAATAGACCGTCATGACAAAAGATAGAGGGCGGTATTCTCGAAAGCGGACTAACTTTAGTCCATGGTTTAATCCACCGACTAAGTATGGAATGCCAAGTGTCCATATTAATATATTTTTGAATAATTTGATATGTCCCTAAATTACCATGATAACATAATTATATCATAGTTATATTGTTGTTACTTAATTGTGTTATTACATTTTATTTTAATTGAGTGACAGAATAAATTATTCAAAAACATGTTCATATGTTAGTACGCTTTCAAGAATACCACCCAGAATCTCAAGTAAACATTGTCCATTTTTGAATGACTCGATGACAAGGCTTACCTTAATCAAGTGATCATGCAAGAGAAGAAAATTTATGTGATCATACAAAAGAATTTATCAAAACTGAACTTACGCTTGTAAGTTAGCCTTTTCTTGATTCTGAGTTGACATTGTCACATCTTCTAATTCACAAAATCAATGCGAATAAGTCAGGAAATATATTTAGACTAGAATAACTGTACCTAGGGGCTTCTGACCCACATTCATTGCTTCAGCCCAAACTTTTTGAGATGGCGGCTGCTCAGTCATCCCTGACAGCAGAGTTATGAATAAGGTATCATTGGACCGAATATTAGTTACTCTTTAAAATGAAATATAATTCAAGGTCACACAGGTTATAACTATTAAATGGGAATCTGTCAAAGTTGGGTACACTTTTTTTAACGCACTGTATGTAATGCTGTATTTACTTGACTGTAAACTATTTTTTTATGCAGACCCTCTCTGAATTATATTCACTGTATATTGTTCTTGAATGAAAATCTATTTTACACTTAGTATTTGTATATACCTAATACCTATACATCCATAAATTCATTTCATATGATACATCATTTTCTTTCATGCAGAATTGTTGCAAGTGCACTTTCAACAATTATTGACTGAATTTTAAGTTTGAATTTGCCTGGGACAAATTTGTGGTATTATACCTGTACATGTCTATGTAATAAATAGAGAATGTGTGGTTTTGTGTTTAAGTAAAGCTTAAATTACACTCTTTGAAATGATAGTCCAAATATATGTATAATTGTATATATGTAACATAGGAATGAAAAAGAATTAAAAGAAAAGAAGAAAAAAGAATGTGCAAATCAAATTATGATGCTTATTTTTGTATTTTTGTTTACATCATGCTAGCGTAAAGTACACATGTATAGTAAAAATTTTTTTTTTTTAAATGCCCTGTTCACATTGTGGTAGTTGAAAATGTAATCTTTCATTTGAGGTTTTTCACCCATATGGGTCACTGCACTTATCTAGCCATTACACAAAAATGTTAAAATTATCTTTAATTGATGGTTTGGGTTGAGTGATGTTCAGGAGTTACTCTCATTTTGTATGAATGCTTTCATGATTTTTAGGAGAGATCAACCAAACCTTGGTTTGAGGTACTGTAATTGGCAACAATTTTTGTTGTAAAAGGGGTCAGTTCAGGCTTATATATTGTGTTATGAAATCAAACAACAAAAATAACAGGGGTTCAGATGTCTTTGGCCAGATTTTACTTATCAAGATGGCAAATTAAAACAAACGAAACATGAACGATAAAAACACAGTAGGCTATCAGAGCTTTTCAAAGATCTACACGAATGTACTTTCATTACACATTAAGCATTGAACCAGGGTTTCATTTTTTTCATGAACTATCTGTATAAAGAAGATTGGATTGACAGTGCAATTCATGTGTGTCAGTGGTTTTGAGGGCGGGGTTCTTGGATGTGCGTCAGTGGTTTTGAGGGCGGGGTTCTTGGGTGTGTGTCAGTGGTTTTGAGGGCGGGGTTCTTGGGTGTGTGTGATTGGTTTCGATGTGTCTGGATGTGATTTAAGGTTTTTCACCCATACGGGTCACTGCACTTATCTAGCCATTACAAAAAAAAGTTGTAGGAATTTTGAAGAAAAGAATTATCCAATTAATTTTAACAATACAAAATTTCTTATTGTAAATGAAAATTGTTGATTGTTGATGAGGAGTTGTTTACACGCAATACAATTTCAGATCAAGATATTTTTGCTGAAAATGGCATGCGGTCAATATCTAATTGTCAAAATTTGGGGTTAAAAGGAAACAAAATTGTTGATGTATGGAATATTGGGAAAGCTATTTTAAGAAGCGGAAAAAAGGATAACTGGAGTATAATGGATGTAAAAGAGTATGATATTTTAATGCAGTTTAACAGTACTGTGAAGCTCCTCAGAGATTTATTGTCAAGGAAGGTTTATGAATATTTTATAAAGAAGTTATAAAATTTATTTGTTTTGAAGATTCATGATGGACGGGGATTTTCAGATTTTTAAAATGAGGTATTTAGGGAGATATTTGGTAGGCCTAGGAAAGTTGCCCTTGTTAACGGACTAAGATAAATTCAGGATAAACTGCTTCATGGAGCAATATATACTAGAGAACACTTATTCAGATTCGGCTTTGTTGAAGATAACTTGTGCTCATTTTGTAAGCAAAAGATTGAAACATATTTACACTTGTTCTGGGAGTGTGCACATGTTCAAAGGTTATGGCAGAATGTAATAGCTAAGTTTGAGGTAAGGAAATAAGGTCTGTCGACTGGGTGTAGATATTCATTTAGGGTTGTCCGATAATTCACCACGAATAAAGATATTTAATACAATTATTTTTGCAATGAAATATTGGATATATAGAATCAGGGTAAAGTCCGTAATATTGTCTTTGGGCGAGTTTAAAAAAGAACTTGGAATTTAGAAAAACTAGAAGCCGTCTAGACAGTATTCAACAGAAGCCGTGCTCAGCGTTCCGCTGGTTTCCTGCTTGGTGCTGCCTGACGGAGACGCCATCGTGTAAGTTGAAATCGGAGCAAAACTTCGATTTTTGATATAAAAACAGCACAGACTCTCAAAAGTCTTCCAAAAACATGAAAAGGGAGAGTTTCTCTCCCTATTGTAGTATTTTTTCGAAACCGCTGGTCCGAAAAAACGCCAAAAATTAGGTATTTTGACTGCTGAGGGAAAATTACTTTCCCGGTAACGGGATCTCATGCATGTAATTTCGAACGACGAAATATTAAGAATAAGTGTAGGTAATCTGAAAAAGGAGATGTATTCTTGCCCTTTGATGTACAATATTCCGTTACGCAAATGTAAGATATATATATAAATGAAGATATTCTTGGCATTATGTGATGCCTTTTAGCATGACACGGGCGCAGTCGTTTATGTGACGTACAGTTGAAGTTGTACATGTATCACGCACCAAGCTTTAGTTGGAAAGATTTTTTCAAATCAATAACAAAACCTCAACTTTTCAATGAGGTAAAATCAGAGCTGAGAAGACAGAAATTATATTTGGTGCAAAATATATAACAGGGAAACGATTGTAACTAATTTCATTTAAAAATACTAAAATATAGCAGTTGGAAATTAAGAAACCTTCACTCAAGAGCACCAACTAGTTATTTATTCAATTTGAAGTACAAAGGATAAAGCAGGTGAATAAAATGCTTCATCACTATACACACCTGGAAAGGAAGCACTATGAATCTGAATACATTTATACTTGATACACAACTTCACATAACGGTCACGTGATCTAGAAAATGGCGATACCCCCCCCCCCCCCTCGATGCCCATGGAGTGCTGAGAAATGTTCATTCTTGTCGCCTCTCTCATACACTTTGGTAGGGAATCTTGTAGATTAATTGGCAAGAATATAATAAACCCTTCAGAATAAGTAAAATTATTTCTTGGGGTGAGATTTCCTTTGGGTTTAACAATCCGAATTTCGAAAGTAGGCCTACTGCTTGAAGTAAAACTGAACGGATATGAATAAAAGGCAACCATATGGTGTTAAAACATAAATAATTCATTGTTATTAAACGAATGGTACGTTGGCTTGGAAAAAGGGGTATAGGCCTTAATTGTGGAATAAAATT